TCATTCGTTTCTTCAAATGTATGGTCAGCGCAATCGAGCGATTCTTTAACTGGTTGGAGAGTTCGAAAGGCTAACATTTAATTAAATATTCTAATTTCTATGCTATACCTACGGTTAAAAATTGTACGTTTTTATAGATCCGACAAATTGGCAAATGAGGTGGCACATATTATTCGTCCATCTGTCCTGTCGCGTAATTTAAAGTTATGTAATATGTTTTACAAGTGATACAACGTTTTTTGTTTACAATTTAGTTTGCGTTGAAAACTAGATTAATAGGCATAATCAAACGCTAATACATACATGAAATCTAAATATTTCGCATAACATTGAATACTGAATAATTTCTTAAATGCTATAAATTCAGATTATTGTACAATAAACATATTACTCGAGCTTTTTTATAAGTTCACACCATATATACTCGTCGTACTATAAAGAGGTAAACTTGATAAGTTTTGATGTAGGAGGAAAACTTACAATCCTTTGATCCATTTCTGAAAATAGCTTCCACTACTAACGATAAGGAAGGTATAAGGATAATGTAATTGAGTTTCACGGCTGTTTGCAAAAAATCACCAACAGAAGCGCGTATTGTATTTAAAGTCTTAGCGAAGCGAAAACGACTCATATAAATAAAATGTATATAGATTCATAAGAAGCATATAGTGTATACATAGTGTCTAATGATCGACCACTGTCGATTTATATATGTAACATAAATGATATTTCACTATCATAACACTGCAGTTGAAACGAGTAAGAACAAAGCGAGCCCAAGGGAGATTTAAAATTAAAAACCGCTGAAAAGAACTGGTATTTTTTAAACCTATGGTGTCGTGTTAGCGCACATTGGCGCTCCGTATTCGGCACGCTGCATTTTAACGAAGCTCCTATACGCGGCCGCCAGATAACGGAAATTACTGGCTGCAGGCGTACATCTCGCCACGTTAACGCCTAGCCTGCCTACTGCCTGGCCCATTCAAATGCCATATTTACGGGCATGAGAGCATCATTAGTGTTCTCATACGATTTTTAATTTACAATAGACTTTCTCAGCCACCCCTCCGACGCTAACACTTTGATAATACGCAAATTTTATTATTATCTACTTGACATATATTAGTGAAAACTTTCGATTTATTGTCTAATTTATTTTTAAGATGATAAAATAAGGTTCGATAAGTATATAGTAGATTAAATGTAATTATTAAATTTAGTTTTGTTATCAAATTTATAATATTTATATTGGGTTTTAGTTTTATAATATTACTAGCATTGCTCGCGGCTCCGCCCGCGTTCAGATGACCGAAAACCAAATTCTTAGGTTTTACATATTAGTATACTCTTACATTGCAGTTTTTGTATTTTTTCTCAGAAATGAAATATTTTCCCGCGGTAACAAGTATCCTATATGTTGACCCTGATAACCAGTTATCACCATACCAAATTTTATCAAAATATCTCCAGTGGGTTTTCTGTGATGCGGTAACAGACAGACAGGCGAAAATTCTAAAAACTATAGATTCGGTCTCTGTATTTGTAATAATGGCTATTTCAATAAGATTTTCCAAAAAATATTTAATGTACAGATTCGGCTTAGTTACAATTTTATTACATGTTTAGATAAAACATTAAAAGTAATTCATAAAATTATGACAAATGAGCACTTAGACTATGTAATATAAAACAGTAGATAAATAGCAATTAACCCAGGGATGAAACTAAAATTAACATTGCTTTCGTGTACATATCATAGATTTTCTGTTCAGTCCGTCAAAAGTTCGTAACGTATGCGTTTGATATATTTTATAAACTGGGCGTACTTTAACAACTTCCCTCATTTGCACTGCCACGGCCCGGGGCATTTGTTTTTGTTTTGTTGCTGTAATTGCTTGCTCTCTTACACATTTTTTTTATTGTGATCATTAGAGCTCGTTAAAAACTATTGCTCACATTTCATTCGTAATTTGGTTTCGTCTGTTATGCTTATTTGGAAACGATATAAACTTTATACAAGACTTGAACTGTGGAATCAACTTTTTGTACTTGCTCTATACCAGCAACGTAACTTTTTGTCAAAAAACAAGATGATGCTATTAACATGCATACCTATATTGTATGGGAAGAATTTTAAAACATGTCTACAATTTTTTACAATGTCCTATATCTGGTGTCTAAATTAAACTTTTTAACATTTTATGAACAAAAAATGTATTCTTATACTATTTGCAAGATATATCGGGGTTAGGATTAAATAACATACATATAACCATATAATTAGGCATATATAATTTATTATAAACGACTCGCCCTCGCTTCGCATGGCTTCCTCCCTAGGTTGATTCCCCATACAAATTTTCATTTTCATTTTCACCCCTTAAGGGATGATTTCTGAGATAAAAACTATCCTATGTCATTCTCAGGGTCTCAAACTATCTTCTTACAAAATTTCATCTAAATCAGTTCAGTAGTTCCAGAGATTACTTCCTACATACAAACTCACAAATTTACAAACTTTACCTCTTTATAATATAGGAAGAAGAAGATAAGCCCATCTCGTCAATTCATTTGTTGTTGAATTTGGAAACATATTTATGGGTATGCTTAATCAGATAAAATATTTACTTCCACTAAACTAAATCTAACAACTGATTTGATATAGGTACGTTTCATTGTTTGTGTATATCCATAAAATACATCCCGCGAATGTGTTGTAATGGAAAAATCTAAGTCATTAAAAAACCTAAAAAAAATCCTAAAAAATTTTCTGTCCTTACCTATTTAAAGTAAATGTGGTGGTTTAACCTGAAACTAAGAGAAAATTAGTTTTATTAAAAACATTATTATTTAACTTTATTTTAGATTAATTAATACATAAATTAAAGCATTCTAATCGTAAAGATACCGTTCAATTTCTAATTGTAGTATCTACTTGTAACTGCTATATATAGTAGGTAAGTAAAACCTAACGGAGCTTTTATTACCGGCGCTCATAACCTCGGACACAGCTGTACCACATTCAAGATTATTTATCTACCCTCCGCATACCTGCCTATCTTTCATTTAATTTGGCCTCCGCTTGCTTTTAATATAATTATTATTAATTACATCACTGCTATCCGTTATCACCCTAAAGTAAATCTTAAGTATATCTATGAAGGTATTATTTTAATTATTAGACTAAGCATTTTCGATTTTTTTTCATATAAAACATCTATATATCTATAACATACTAGCGACTCGTCCTAGCTTCTCTCAGGTTCGTCCGTAGGTACGTTCTAACGCTTAATATGAAATACATTTTTTTTTCAATATTTTTTGTCGATTTTTCCGATGTTTTAATAGTTATTCTATTTATTATAGATAAATCCAGCAAATCAAAGATAAGATCAGTTGTGAATGGTGTAACTAACTCCTATTACTTATGTTTACTATAAAAAGTATACCTAGTATTTTTTAGCATATCCCCCTAATAATCTTTAAAAAAATTAAGGGTGTCCAGTTTTCGTGTAGTTTAGTTTCATAAGCCTTATCTTTTATTCCAGAAAATTATAAGTTTTTAGCAGAAACGGTACATAGACTATTTATTGGTTAAACTTATAGGTACACATCGTGTGAAGAATTTACAAACTCAAAGTGTTTTTCTGATGTACGAAAACCTAAAAGAAAATGCATTGAACTGTACCTTAACGAATCGAAAAGGAAGCAATGGAAAGTTTATGAAAGTTCGAATTCTATAAGAAAATGATTTAAATGCGTCTCCATTCATAGCCTATGGGCGATACCGTCGCGACGGCGGCGGCGGCGGTCTTCATTTTATTTTTCCTTTCTCGCCACGCTAACTCGAACCGCAAAGTTGGATTTTGTCATGAATAATTTAAAACATTCTCTTGCATTATGCGAAATATTACAACCTGCCAGATCTATTACTGAGAAATACGGATGGACGTATTGATTTTGGTTTGGGAACCACTGTTTGCATATGTAACAATAGCTAATTCTAAATTCCAATGGAAATTTTAACCAGTATCTATAGGTATATTGTGACATCAATTTGTTGTTATGTATTACATGCACTAATTATTACTCTATTCTCAATTACTGCTATATTTTTATGTTTGAAATGAGTCACTTCTGTTAGTTTTAATACTAAACAGGTTTCAAAATTCTAAATTGACAAGTTTATAGTAAAAAATTATAATATGTAATATTTGTGATGAAATATTTAAATCTTATTTACATAAATTAAAAATATATAGTTTGTCGATATTTTTATCATTGTTTATGGTACTTACACAATGGTATAGATGAGGGGATGTTTTGTTTTTTAAAGCTTAAAGATTATAGTTAGAATGTAAATCTACCTATCATGAGGATCATGTTAGTTGGTTGCAGCATAGATTTAAATACATGCACGAAACCGTAGACAAAACATAGAAAAAAAAATAACAATGGTATTTGAAATAGGTAAAATGGTAGGACTTACTCAAATAAAATGAATACTTTATAAATGGCGAAAACTACACGTTTCTCGTGTTACACTACCTACATATGCTCTATTTAAAATTCGTTATAGTTTTTCAGCAAAACGTAAGATGCATTGTAGGTATCCATACCTTATGCTGTCTAGACAAAGTAATAGTTTTAAAAAGTACGTTCAAATAAATTTGGCAATGCGGAATGGCTAACATTTCGAAAATATATAGTACCGATTAAGGAATCTTGTAACTACGATATATTACAGTTGTTATCTCTTCCCGCTCGTAAATATTCCTTTATTTAAGAATGAAAGGACATTGGAATTCTCGAGACCAGTCAGGACTAAACCTAAAATGTTCTTGCAAAATGTGGTTGCAGACTCTATTTGCGGTTTATCCTATATTAGTCAAACAAAGTAGATTTTAATGTTTATACGCCAAACGGTAAATAATTTCGCAAAGGCCTTGCGTGCTTACCTTATTATTCTGTTTATACAATAAAAATATTTTTCTTTACAGGCCATGTGGGAGGCTGTGGAGTAACAGATGAGGTTATTCAATGGATGGAACGTATACAAAATTCGGGAGTGGACGATGATCCTCCAGTTTCTGCTACTCCTTCACACACTTATCATTCACCAGCGCCAAACCAGCCTCACCCAAATAGTTTAAGGGATGATTCATCCAGGTATATTAATAACAACGTGTATTTAAAATCTATGGCTTTTAAGCTTAATATTTAAAAAAAAACAATATGCGCAATTAGTTCGTACTGTACTCATTTAGTTATTTATTTCTATTTATATTCAGGATACCATGACTAATAAAATTATTTTTATTTCAACAATTTTAACATTTCCTCAGACATTGGGATTTCCACCATTACAACAAGTATTCACGTGGCGCGAACACCGGCGAACACTCACGATCGCGGCGAGCGGCGCCTGATGACAAAATAAGGAATATGTGCTCCCTTTACATACAAACAGATCCGCTCATATGGCGGCATGTTAGAGAAGGCTTTCCAGACGTAAGTGTACTTTACATAACTTAGTAGTTCGGATATTTTTTTCACCATTTCGAATGGTCTATATATAATAATTATTAACACTATTATTCATATTTGCAAAGTTATTTTTTCTTATCTAAATAATAAATTTGAAATAAAAATGAAATTGATGAAATCAATTTAAAGTCAGCTAAACAACCAATCAATTGACGAACAACAGTGCTGTAACCAGAAAATTAAATATGGTATAAATTACAAAGCAAATGGGAGTACCCATTACTTGTATAAAACGAAAGGAATAAAAATTTCATAATAAAAATTCTGACTTTATACAGCCAAATAGCTTTAAGTAAAATTATTTATTTTACTATTTATTATTGCAGCACAAAGACCCAAATAAAAAGAACGAAGTGGACATGAAAACACGTGAAGAGATCCTATCACTAATATCGCACCACGTGACCGCCGTGAACTACATATACAGGGACACGAAATTCGACGGTCGGAAGGAACACAGGAATATACAGTTTGAAGTTCAAAGGATCAAGGTATGCGTCTGTAGTCGAGTGGGGAATGTACTTTATGTTAAGTGAATGTTAATCAAGTTGTTTGTACAGCGGGGTCGTAAAATGTCCAAATTGTTATACAATTTCTCAAGTCTTTGGCATTTGCTGTAGGTATTGTTATGATTATTAATATTGCTTTCAACTTCACACACTACAAACTTTTAAGTTGGAAATGCATCTAAAAATGATATATGAGGTGTTTTATTTTCTTACAATATGTACACGTACACTTACAGGCCCTTAAACCCATAAATCATATGAGATCCCTTAGCATATATATTTAACATGTAATTTATTCTTCAATAGATCGACGACGATTCATCATGCTTCACGCATCCATTCGCGTCGGAAACCAACCAGTTTTGCTTGGAGAACATTGATGTTTCCAACTTCCTGAATCTCCATTCTCTTGGAAACCACGAAGACTTCTGCCTGGCATACGTGTTCACATACAGGGATTTCACTGGAGGCACTCTAGGTAACAACCATGGATAATTAATGTAAATACGTGAAACATTCGCAATATATTTATGTCATCAATAAAACCTTTTCATTTAATTATTGACTAATTTCTTTTTTCTTTTCACCAGGCTTAGCATGGGTGGCCAGTGCCAGTGGAGCGTCAGGAGGTATATGTGAAAAGTATAAAACATACACAGAGACTACCGGTGGAATGTACCAAAGCACCAAACGCTCCTTGAATACTGGTATCATTACATTCGTGAACTATAACAGCAGAGTGCCGCCCAAAGTCAGTCAACTCACTCTCGCGCATGAAATCGGACATAATTTTGGATCACCGGTAAGTTTTTATTTTCTTATAATGGACTAGCGACTCATTCCTAGGTTGATTCTTCATACAAACTTTCGTCCCCATTTTCACCCCCTTAAGGGTTGATTTCCGGACTAAAAATATCCTATCTCCTTCCCCGGGGTCGAAAACTATCTTTTTACCAAATTTCATCTAAATCGGTCCAGTTTTTGAGTTTATTCGTTACAAACAAACAAAAATAAAAATCTTTCCTCTTTATAATAGTAGTGTAGATTACTGAGATGCTTAGCATAACATAGCTGTGTAACTCATGGTTATCATAATTAAATAGGAATTTATTATTTACTAGCATTTATTATTTACTAGCATTACCAAAAACCAAATTCTTAGGTTTTACATAATAATATACTCTTACAGTGCAGTTTTTGTATTGTTTCTCAAAAATGAGATATTTTCCCGCGGTAAAAAGTATCCTATATGTTGACCCGGATAACCACGTATCACCATACCAAATTTCATCAAAATCCCTACCGTGGTTTTTCTGTGATGCAGTAACAGACAGACAGACAAAAATTCTAAAAACCATAGATTCGGCCTCTGTATCGATAATAATGTTTATTTCAACAAGATTTTCCGAAAAATATGTAATGTGTAGATTCGGCTTGTTTACTATTATTTTATTATATGTATAGATAACTGATAAAAATAAGAAGTAAAGTAGTTGTTGTCTAAATGTTTGCTTGCGTCCTTTAGGTAGGTACATTTTTATGAAAAAAAACCCTAAAAACATTGCGTTTATTAGTTAGCCTATTATGAATTTAATGAAAGATAAACACATTTATTTTCACAATATTAGTGTGAAAACCTCTTTATTTTAACCTTGAAAACTCCAATTAATTTTCAATTAACTGTCAAATTATATTTCTATTTGCTTTGTAATCAATATATTGTTAGTCAATTGAGTTGGGAAATGAATTACGCACAGTTCGCTATTGCCACACAAAATCTATGTTAGAATGGCGTTTAAATGGCTCATGAAAAGTACCATTCAAATTCCTAGATTCTAAAAAAAATTAAAGAACGTTTGTGGTCATCATACAGCAAAAATATTTTATAGAAGATAACACACCTTGGAATGATATAATCGCCTCCAGACTAAGTCAATCTTGTAGAATTTGTTGAAATTGTAGTTTACAATTTTACTTACAAAAGAAGATAAAAGAAATTTGTTAGTCACCACTCGTATCATCAACTCGTAAAGTTCAGTAAAAAAATACTTATAATTTAATGCTGTATTACATGTTAAATTTTGATTGATTGGTGGTGTCTATTGCCATAATTTAGTAATAATAATGTATTTACGAGGCATTATAATTTATATGTGAGGCCACAGGCAGTGGTAACCCAGTGGTAACGTGCTCGCTTGGGAAACCGAGTGAAGCGGGTTCAAATTCGGGGTCTCGCACCTCTGATATTTTCATGTGCAAATAATTTCTAACATGATTACCACTTGCCTTACGGTGAAGCAAAACATTGTGAGGAAACCTGCATGTCTTAGAGAACCTAGCAAGTTTTCGAAAGACATGTGTAGTCCACCAACCCGCACTTTGCCAGCGTGGTGGACTATGGGCTGATCCCCCTCGCACTGAAGGGAGGCCCGTGCCCAGCAGTGGAACTTTAAAAAGGGCTGAATACAATTTATATGTGAAAATTCCAGCACGACTATCCATCCGAATGCCGGCCGGGCGGGCAGCAAGGCAACTACATAATGTTCGCGTCGGCCACGTCCGGCGACCGGCCCAACAACAGCCGCTTCTCCGCCTGCTCCGTGGGCAACATCAGTGCGGTGCTGGACGCTGTGCGCGACGGACGCAAGAAGGACTGCTTCAAGGAGAACGCCGGCGCCTTCTGCGGGAACAAGATTGTGGAGGTCGGCGAGGAGTGCGACTGCGGTGAGAAATTATATTTTATAGCATATAGTCTCCTTAATCTGGTCAGTGGATATATTCTGCTTCTGGAAAACATGAGGACTTTGTTTTCGAGTCGTGGGTCTCTGTTCTATGCCAAGAAAGTATGAAATGGTATGGCCATGGTTTTTTAACGGTAGCATCGAAGCATCGTATCGCATCGTACTGAATGACATAATAGATGGTGCACCAATCCACGAATTGTCGTCTTTGTCTTCTCAGTGAACACAACCAATTCGGTCTGTAGATATATGTTTATAGTCTATATTTTATAATTTCTACATACATATTTTCTGAGTGCTTAACACTACATCTATGTTTATGTCTTTCAAACTCCTTTTAATCGTACTTCTTATCTAGCTATCCAATCTCGTTGGATTTGTAGGTCGTTCATTTATATTTAAATGTTATTGTCCATTTATTAAACACTTGTCATAAATTTCGTTTACTTGTTAGCCGTCTAAAAATAAGATAAATAAATATAATTGTTTAGGTTACAACGAAAACGAGTGTAACGATCGCTGTTGCTACCCGCGGCAGCTCAGCCCCTTCGACCTCGAGAGAAACAACTCCGCCAAGGGCTGCCACAGACGAGCCAACACTCAATGCAGGTCAGTGTTAATACTTCAGTTAATGGAAATAATAAATTATGAATCATAATTCAAATATGTACTTTTGTACGCAAAAATTGAAATAATTAAAAAATTTTAAGTAACAGAGAAAATCAAAACACAATATGGTTTATTTAAAATAGATTTTTTACAATTAAACGTCAATATTGACTGATAATACTGACTTTGAGAAAGCTACAAGCTGTCTGATAGGAATTTACGTTGTCCCTATTTCTAATTTATCTTAAGGATTTCCGCTTTTTTCATCTATTTACTAACTTTTATTGCTAGCATTTGTACTGATATTTATTTTTCTATTTTAAATAATTAAATGCTACATACATGCATGCACGCAAACTTCTTATATGTAATAAAAAAAACTCGTTATGTTCATAAGTATATTGATTTATTAGAACATAATATAATATAAAAAATATAAAAGGCTTTGAAGAAACGGACCAACAGATAAACTATATAATCTATAACAATAAATTTAACGTTATATTAATATTTAAGCTAACATGCATTATAACCTTAACAATTTGTAAATTGGTGTATGTAAAGTTTTTATTATTTTTGTTTATATGTAACTAAATACTGTTTGTCTTCCAAATAAATAAATAAACATCCATACATCCTTTTCTCCGTCGAACATAAACAACCATGTCGCTCTCTCTCCGCCAGTCCGTCGCAGGGGCCGTGCTGCCACGGCGAGACGTGCCAGTTCGTGGCGGCCGCCTACAACCAGACGTGCCGCGAGGCCACCGAGTGCAGCCACGCCTCCTTCTGCTCCGGCCGCTCCGCCGAGTGCCCCGGCCCTCGCGCCATGGCCAACCACACTAAGTGTAACAATGGTCAGTGTTGATATGTTTTTTTTAAATTCCTACCCGTAAAGGTGTTAGCATCAAAACGATGTTGAAGATATTTTCAGTTAAAAACCAATGATTTTTTTCTTTATGGCTTATAGCTGCGGTAACAGACGCAATTTATTCTACCAGTGTCACGTTTTGTGGGGAAGACACAAATGAGATTGAAAACCAATGATTATAATACAAGAACTTTTTTGATTGTAATTTTTTATTTTATTTTAATGGACGCGCACAGCAAAATCGCGGTGAAAATATGTCGACGGTTCAACAAAGAAAATGTGTATAAACGACATAATATTTACATAAGAATTTGAGTCGTAATACGTTACTTGGTCATATATTGTCAGAAGATGAGTTGCCATTATTTGACATCACGTTAAATAAAACAACTGACGAAGTTACCACTGTCATTTATTTCTACCTCTTTATATAAAAATGCACAGGATACAGAGCTTAAGATTTATTTTTATGCTCGACTGATGAAATTATTATTTTTTTATTATTTAGACTTATCACCTTTACGATTAAAACAGCCATTGAAATCTATTTAAGGCCCAGCGTGGCCTGCTCGATGGTGAAACTTTATAATTAAAGATACTTCAGCGAAATAAAAGTACTAACTCTCGATATCATGATATACATAATCGTATTTTCTAATTAATTCATATTTTAAGTACACCTACTGATGTAATTAATTTTTGAACAATCAACAGGCACACAGCTGTGCATCAACGGCGAGTGCAGCGGTTCAATATGTCTCGCGTGGAATATGAAAGAGTGTTTCCTCTCATCGTCGCCGACGAAGATCGGTGACGGCGTGACTGCGGTCGTGGACCGGCGCGCGCTGTGCCAGCTGGCGTGCCAGACCGGCAACGACCCGGACACGTGTCGGAGTACCGCGGACTTCGCGGACAAAGTCGGACTGCCGCACGGCGGAATCAGCCTCAGGCCCGGCTCGCCTTGCGACAACTTTCAGGTAACTTATTATGTCCTGGTACCTTGTGCTGATTTATAAATAGCTTATGATTAACTAGCGATTTGAGTTGAAGTTTATTCCCCATACAAAATTTCGTCCCCTTTATTTCCGGGATTAAAAACTATCCTATGTTCTTCACAGGATGTCAAACTATCTTCTTACCAAATTTCATCTAAATCGGTCCAGTAGTTTCGAACCCTATTCAGTACTAACAAACAAACAAAAAAACAAATCTTTCCTCTTTATAATATTAGTATAGATATAGATCCATTTAATCCAATGATAATATTACCTTATAATTAATCTATCGCATAACAAAACATGTAACACAAAACAAATAACATGTAACTCAGATTAACAAAAATATTTAACTATATAACGAATTTTATTACTAAAAAAGTGCATGTACTGCGATAAAAGCTTCATATTAAATTCACTTTATAGATGCATTATTCTTAATCTCTTCTAAAGAGACGAAAAGGCATTTAATTTAGCTATCTACTATATAGACAGAAAGACAGGTCTATAAAATGACACAGGTATATTACCAAGCCAAGCGTCATTGGCACGGTTAAAAAACTTGTTACTGAATATTAAGATAAAATGATACTTCAGTGCAATTTAACTTCGAGACTGTACGCCATAAAAATTGATAATTTTTGACAATATTTGCATTTTGCAGAATATTCGTTAAAATCAACATGTCTAACCATTTACTTACCGTTATTTTTATACGGTGACTAGCGACGCGCCCTCACTGCGCTCGAGTTTGTCTCTAGTTACGCTTTAACGTTTAGTACATAAGTATTAAATGTTAAAACGTAAGTAGTCACGTAGATTTCTCAAAGATGAGATATTTTCCCGTAAAAAATATCTTTTATGTTGACCAGGATAACCAGCTATCATCATGCTAAATTTCATCAATATCTTTTCAGTGATGCGTTCTCAGACAGACAGACAAAAACTACTAAATAATAATAAATATGTTGGGACATTAACACACATCACCATCTAGTTCCATGTTAAGCTACGAAGCTTGTGTTATGGACACCAGATAGTTGATACACTACATATATATAACTTTAAATACATACATATTATAAATATAAACATCCATGACTGGAGTACAAACCTTCATGTTCATCGCACAAATGAATGCCTCCGGCGGGACTCGAACCCGCGACCGCTGGCACAGCAGGTAGGGTAACTACAAACCGAGCCAAACGTGTCGTCGTACTAGAAACTATAGATTCAGTCTGTGTATCGATAATAATGATTACATATTTGAATAAGGTTTTACAAAAAATATTTAATGTACAGATTCGACTCAGTTAGAATTTTATTATTTGTATAGATTAATAAAGCTAAGATACTGCACATAATATAATAGATTTCTTCACTGTCTTCTTTGAACTGTAAATCTCAAAACCAATTTCCATACATAATCATATTGATTAAAATATTGATGAAAAATTCTATTGCTACTTGTTCCTACCATAATTTGATACATATTTAATGTATAGATTCGACTCAGTTAGAATTTTATTATACATAATATGTATAGAAAATACCGTATATAATAATAAAATTTCCATACAACCCAAGGGCTACTGCGACGTGTTCCTCAAATGCCGCGCAGTGGACGCGGAGGGCCCGCTGGTGAGGCTCAAGAACCTGCTGCTGAACCGCGCCACGCTGCAGACGCTGCAGGCGTGGGTCACGGAGCAGTGGTGGGCCGTGCTGCTGGGCGGCGTCGCGCTCGTGGTCTGCATGGGCGCCTTCGTCAAGTGCTGCGCCGTGCACACGCCCTCCTCCAACCCCAAGCGCCCGCCGGCCAGGTAACTCACACACTTCATTCCACACAACAATCATGCGCAGGGCTGCCAGTGGAGACAACTTATCTTATACCGCTGGGTCACTCAAATTATACCAAATCAAATTTTATTATACGAATTAACAAAACTGTTGAGAAATAGTTTGTAATCATTAAAAAAAATCAAAAAAATACGTAATAACTTAAAATGAATGAAATGAAAAAAAATGAAAATGAATTAAAATTATCATTTCATCAAAATGGACAAGAGGCGATTTTCGTTTTTTTTTTCTATATTTTTTTTATAATAACTCCCGAGTTATTTATTAATACTTACTATAAACATTACCCGCGACATACCCTCTTACTAAAGGTAAAATATCTATCTGTGTCAGCCCTACCAATTGGCGGGTAAATTGCCCGAAAAACGGGTAATTAGGCGATTTTTGATGGCGGGTAATTTTGACGGGTATTTGCATTGAGCGGGGTCAAAGCAGGAATTTTTGTTTAGCTGATTAATTTGATGTTTAAGTCTTTTTATAAGTTTGGTTTAATAATTTAAAGCAAAGAACTGATTACAATGACTTCTTTTTCTGACATTAGTACTTTCTTTTACTCTATATAAAATATGAATAAATTACTTAAAAAAAAACTATTTTCGGGTATTCTGCTCATGGTTGGCGCCTGCGGGATAAACCGGGTATTTTAATGTTTGGTCGGGTAAATCAACGACTGTTATCTGGCAGTCCTGATCTGTGTATTTAATTTCATATAAATCCTTCCGAGCCGTTTCAGTGGAGAGGATTAACGAACTACACGCACACACATATAGACTTTAGTAATTTATATAGTAGTGAGTGTAGTCCAATATTTAAATTACTGTTTGTTTCCATAGACGGCTGTCTGAGACGCTGCGGCGTCCGATGAACACGCTGCGGCGCATGCGCGGCGGCGAGGCGCGGCGCGGCGCGCGGGAGCCGCGCCCGCCGCGCCCCGGCCACCGCCGCACGCGCGCGCACAAGGGGTATGCGCCGCCCCTCGCCTACGCCGCCAGGGACCTGGGTGAGTTCGCGCTCTAGTGGCTAAGTACGTATGGCTGCAAATCCGCAGTTCCTGGGTTCGGGACATGCACGGTTGGCTAGCGTCAGTGAGACTAGCCGCCGTGGCCGGAATCGGTCAGGAAGACATTATTTATTAGTACTAATAATAAGGACCACCTTTGAATAAAAACTTCCTCCAATTTACTCCTACCGTTTTTAATAACGAAACTTAGTAATTTCAAAATATAATTAAGTAATTTAGTGCTCGATAAATAGAAATGATGTAAATGTTCCATCCCATAGCGACAGCTCCAGCAGGACCCAGCGGCCGGCGCGCGGAGCCCTACGCCAACGCGTACCCGCAGTCCTACGAGATGCGGCCCGCGCAAAAGGTCTGACAGTACGACGCCTGCGGCCCCGGCCAGCTCGAGCTGGTCGCGCTGGCGCCCGGCGTGCCCCTGCTGCTGGGCTACGTGTGCCGGCCGCCCCCCAACACCTCGACCCCCGCGCCCCCCGGGCCCCTCGGGTCCCTCGCGCCTCTCGGCCCCCCCGCACCCACCGGGGCCCCCTCCACCCGCTCGACTGTCGCCTCGCAGACCACCATCACGCTGCACTCACCCGACACGCTCGCAGTCACGCATCACCACCCGGACAAAACAGACGCCTAGAAAAATTAAGTTGCTAACTCCAATACTACCAACATTATTACTCGTGCATTTAAAGAATGAGATCAGATATGGCGGCTCAATCACTGTACTATTAGCATAATGCAGTCTGACAGCGATTTATTTCTATCGAATTAAAAATTTGTTTCTTGTAGCGTTCTAATAGTAGGTATATATTAAAATATAACGTTACTGTTACAGATTATTTTATAAGAAGAATAAGTGCTACTTTTGGTTGTTATTTGGGAACGTTTTATGATTAAAGGTATAATATTATTGAATTGCATTATGTTTTTTTTAATGCAATAATCCCATTTTTGCGATTTATGTATATAGGCGAGTCTCATTCTTCATCTGCCAAGTTATACTATATTTTATTACCAAATGTATATAGATTGACATTCCGTATGTGCATTTAGCGAACACTCGTCCCGTATATGACAGACATTGGAGTTGGCGACTGCTCCCGTAACCGACGAGACGGAACGGGCCTCGCGACTTCACTCACGTCTGTACCACTGCCACCGTATTCATAAATACTTCCACTCTGAACAATGAAAAACTGTTTATACCCAACATTTGAAGTATCTAGTGTCGTTGTTTTATAGTGAGATTGTCAGTACGTGTTGGTTGTTAGGTGTGAGGTGAGGCGAAGTATCGGTGAGGGCCCATTGCTCAATGGATGTTCCGCGAGCTCAACCTAACCGCAAGGTGTTCTATCAAATTAGCCATTATTTTTATACGAGATGAATAGAATAGGGCGCGATGTTCCACCCAGTGACCCTCGAAGGAACCGCTCCGACCGGACATTTATGTATATTTTTGTATATAAATGATGACTATATAAAGGCTACAATGTAAAAATATCATGCAAATACTTACTATAATCGTTAGATTAATATAAGCGATTACGTTATTTTATGAATCTCCGTAACTTGTACTTTATAGACGATATTATTTTTAAATTTAATATAACGTAAGCGGAACGTTGAGGTGCCATTATACCGACTTGTAATCCAACTTTTGTTACGTCTTTCTTACATTATAACGTTTTATAGTTTTGTCACTGAGCAAGCGTTGAAATTGTGAAGCTGTTGTGTGGACTCGAAATATTATGTTTCCTTCATGTATGAACTTTTTTATAATGTCCTATTTTATATGTTATTTGAAACAATGTAATATTATGTAAGTAAATTGAGTAGGTCGTTTTTCGTACGGAATATTTACGATACGAAAATAATATAAGTACTTCTCAAAAAGAAACAACTTAAATTTATAATTATTAGTCTTCCTTCGACAACATGTAATTATTTTTAATTTGTAGATATAATATGAAAATTGAACAGTATTGCCAAATGATCAAATGTTACTAGACTGAAAAAATTCTCAAATTAATATTATAAATTTTGCGTTCATCTAATTTATTCCGCACTGCTGTGCGCTATTTGGCTCAAATGTACTTTATTAATTGTATTGTTTGTTAAATTGTACCAATTAGCATATCACAAATTACACTCAATCATGGGTATTGGATATCAAAACTGTTGTATAGTTCAGTTGATCTCTAATTAATGTTTTTTTTTCTCATTTTCGATTGTATTTCGTAGTGTAACATTCGTCGTGCAAGCCAAAGAGCATGATGTATTTTATGATTTCTATACATTAATATTAAGAGTCAGTCTTTATAAGTATTCCATATAAATGCCATTTTATTAGATAATATCGAATATCGAAACAGTATGCAAGCTCTTTGTAACTTATATATTGATGGCCACTTGAGATAGATTAGTTTAGAGAAAATAATGACGACGACGAAAATTCTCAAAATCGTTCTATTATTATATAATTTTTTTTAAATACAAAAATTAGCACAATGACTGTGACTCGTATATGTGATAATTTTGCTAAACGTCTGTAGGGGCAGAGCATAAAGATGTCTTCAAACCGATCTATCTCAAATGGCCACTTGTATGTATTAATCGTCGTGGGGTCAGTTTCTGTACATTGATTTACTAATCATTATATTTTTAAATAAATATTAATTCCAAAAGTGCATTTCGTTAACTTGTTTATATGTATATTATTAATTGATAACATTGCTACTAGACAGGATGTGACTCACTGCTATGTATGTGGGATCCACTCGCGAACGCGGCCGCGGGCACGTGCTAGTATATAAATATTGTATATTTGTATGTAAACCCAAGTTGTTTCCGATATAGAGTGACTCGACCAATCGTGTAATTGATGGCTATTTGTTTCCATCGTGTAGTTATCAACGGCATTATGTCTTATAAGTATAAGTTAGTTTACCTACGATAGAATATTTAAATGACAATGTGAATATTTTTAATTAACAACATGAATGTTAAAACATGTGATTTCAAAATAACAGAAAATACAATAAATTTTACATGAATATGAGCCTTTATTCTTTTCATTTTCCAATTGTCTTGTTTTTAGTAAATTAAGCCTTGTTTCTTTAATAAACTGAATCTTTGAATATCTTTAAATAATTTTTAAAATATAACTTTGTGATTAATTTAAGGTATTAAGTTATTAACATACATATAACACTTTTATTGGTAATATTTATATCTACTGATTTAATAATTGCGATACCGTTTTAGTTGCATTTTAAAGATGTGATCTACATCTAGTTACAAAAAGTACAACAAAATAATACATTCATTCTATAATCTATACTAATATTATAAAGAGGTAAAGTTTGTGATCTTGTGAGTTTGTGGGTTTGTGAGTTTGTGACGTTGTAGGGGGTAATCTCTGGATCTACTGAACCGATTTTCAAAATTCTTTTAGCAATAGAAAGCCACGTTCTTTCTGAGTGTCATAGGCTATATATTAACCCGAAAAATGAAAAGGCTTTTTCGTGGAAGTCGGATATGCAAAGTAAGTCGGAGAAAAAACGGTCGAACGAAAACGTTTCTTACGAACGCTGCCTTAACGATGAGAGATATATGATTATGTTCTAGAGAAAAGTTGTAGAGCTTAATAATGCCTACAAAAAAGTCAGCGACAGCATATGTCTAACTTTTATATTTAAGTCACAAAAAGTAGTTCTTTATATTAAAAGAATAATTTAAATCGGTAGGTCATGTTTATTGGTCATATTATCAACAATTATGAATTCTTATCAAAATAAGTAATTTTATCGTCTAAAATGCTTAAAACAAAAGACTTTTCCCTTTTACTGCATATAATTTGGACTAATGGTTAAAGAGATAATACAACATATTCGTAGGTATGGACGAACCCGAGCGAGCTGTTTGTCTGTTTTTCTGTTTGTACGGGCTAATCTCCGAATCTATTGGACCGATTTAAATGAAATTTTGCATGGTGGTACCTTATATCCCCGGGCAACCTCTTCGATACTTTTAATCCCGGAAAATTAAAGAGTTCCCGTGGGATAGTTAAAAAACTATAACAACTTATACAGCTTATTACACAAAAACTACTGATTGGATTTTAATAAAACTTTACAATAATATAGTTCATACATGACAAAAACAAATGAGCTACTTTTGATCCCGGAAAATTGAAGACTTTCTGTGGGATAGTTAAAAAACTTACGCACCTAATTTAGTAAAATTTGGCATGCTGATACCTTATATTGCCGGTCAAACAACAGGTTACTTTTCATCCCGGGAAAATGAACGGTTCCCGTGGGATAGATCTGTTTGTGCTTATCTAGAGGAGAACTCGAGCGAAGCGAGGGTGAGCCGCTAGTCTATACATATAATAAAATTGTAACTAAGCCGAATCTGTACATTAAATATTTTTTGGAAAATCTACAGTTTTTAGAATTTTTGTCTGTCTGTCTGTTACCGCATCACGAGAAAACCACTTGACAGATTTTGATGAAATTTGGTATGATGATAGCTGGTTATCCGAGTCAACATATAGGAACTTTTTACCGTGGGAAAATATCTCATTTCTGAGGAGTAGGAGTATACTAATATTAGTTAGTACATAATGTATAACCTAAGAATTTGATTTTTGGTCAACTGAACGCGGGCGGAGCCGCGGACAATGCTAGTACTATTTAATATTTTAAATTAGCTGTTTCTTACCAACTTTCGTAATTTCTCGTACTTTAACATTTAGAATTAGATGAACAGTCGATTTTTTTTAATGAATGAAAAATAAACAAGTTTATTAACATTTACTTCATTAACCGACTTCAAAAACGAAGAAATTATAGTTTTCTTTGCCTATCGTGAACCGATTTTCACAATTCTTTTTAAGGAATATCCCATATGATATAAATTTAAAGAAAATCTCCAATAATGATGATGAATTAATATTTATAAAATGATTTTTAAGTCGAACTCCATTCACACAACAATAAAAAGTTTTAATTATTAATATTCTTTAAATTTATATTCTCTCTATGTAGGTATATTTTATGGAACAGGATTACAAATAATACTCATATTGTAATGTTGGAGTGCATATTATTCGTATATACAAGTTACAAATTGTGTAATATAGTAATAATAATAAACTTCATTCACGTAATTGCAATAGTATCGCCGTACAACTAATATAACTATACATTAGAAAATTGTAACAACGTATATCGTTTTCGCCATCTTCTCAGATTAGTTCATTGGCAAGTTATTTAAGGGTTTTCAAACTGGGTTTCTTATGAAATCCACTCCCCCAAGTTACTTGAGCCAGGCCGCGATGAAGGAAATAAATCAGTTGCTCAATTTCCTGTTTATTCTTTCTGCATACATATTTTAAAGGGGTCATGTTTCAACATTTTTTTCTTTTTCCGATACCTCACACTACACAACACAAGGTACAGAAAGATTACTGAGATTTGTTAGCATTACGATGGTCGGAGATTTTCTTGATGCTAAAACTATATTTACTGTTATTCATAAGATCAATAGATAACTTCATTAGCTTTATTATAAGTTCGTGACATCACTATTACTCATGAGTCATGCCGTTACGCCGACTATTAGTTTAACATCAAGCTGGACCTACAGTGCCCATCCGTTAAACAAAAGAGATATCAACTTGGAATAAATATTAATCATAATCATATAATTGAAAACAATTTTGTAAATTTGTTTTAATAAATCGGTGGAATATAAATATAAATGCCATATAAAACAGATCGTAGTGTTAATTCTTAAAAACACGAATACATAGGTAATATATGAAAGTAAATCTATTCTTCAAAATATCAAAAAATGGAAGTCGGTAAAAATAATGCAAAAATCATAATAAAAAAAGGAGAAAACACATTTATGATGTAAAATGTACTCTTAACTATTAAAATATAAAAACTTAAACTTCCTTTTCATTATAATTTAGAACATAATTATTCACAATGTCGACTTGTGCAATGCAAATATAAACTATATATTAGATAAAGGCAAACATTATTCTATTTTTATATGTAGGTATAATGTGGAAAGATAAAGTAAGTAATAAAGTACAAAAATGTCTAAGCATCGTAGTATTGAATTTAAGCTAAAATTTTATAATTGCAAAATTAATTACGTATTACAGCTCTATTTGGTGTTGATTATGCTGATGAAATGTGAGATTATTGTTATATTTCATAAAAATATTAAATAAATTATGTAATAACTAAATTTAACTATCGCTTACGTACTAAGTAAAAACTATTTTAGCGCAGGTATAAAAATTATCAATTATACTTCATACAATTATATACTTAGATCCACTCTAATGTTATATTATCTAAAAGGAAATATATGAAATAGTCAAAATCAGGATGTTTTACACAAAACTTATTGAAAAGGAATAACTAAGACAGTCTCATTAAAGCTCAAATATATTTTTTTGGAGTTTTCTTTCTATTATGTTGACGTTTACATCGTAATAATTAAAAACAAATAAAGATAATATCTCAATACTACACTAATAATAAGTAATTACAATTAGTATAATAATGCAATGGAATTTGTCATCGATAATAATGACTTCGTTATAATTAAAACTATTCAGTGTCTTTCAAACAAACGGAATTAAGAGTGTAACAGCATCTGTTCTTGTTTGTACACTTCATGGTAGGCATTACGTATTAGCACATAAGGAAAACACGACTCCAGTAAGTCCATCGTAAGGAAGGGCGACTCCTGAACTATAAGATCGAGAAGTAAATAAACGGATTCGCGGTTCTTTATTGCTTCTTTGTCTGTCTCTTGTCCTAGTCGCAGTAGAGACGACGAAGCTAATGCTAAAAATTCTTTCATTCTATCTTCGATGTCGCCCTGACCGCAAATCGTAAATAAGGCTCCAAAAATATGATTAATAGCAGGTGCCATGCAATGTATGTTATTGGCGTGGCCTTCCAGAGACGGCCTATAAAATGAGCCTTCGCTGCGCGCTAATCTCGGGAGAGAAACTGCAACAAACACCATGAGTAAGCAAACGATGAGGTGCTCTTCCTCTTCTAGTTCAGCTTTATGCTGTCGAAGAGCTGATGCGAGTGTTGGATCTACTTTACAGGACAGACCTGCAGCCGAGCACATTTCCGAAATAACGCGTGTTGTGTCACCGCTAGGCAACTGCTGTTGGAAATCTTTTATAGAACTTATCAAAAATGGAATACGACGCTCTAAAACGTCAAGCAATGATTCTTGAGCTATTTGACGAAAACTCAATATTACACCAATTATAGTCATTCTTTGTAATACATTGTCAACGTGTTGGAGCCGTTTGAATTGTTCTCTCATTATTTCAGGCTTATCAAAATTAGTTCGTAGCATCTGCAGAACTTCTTTATTTTGTACTACCAATTTTTTAAGTTCCTGCACTTGACTGGCGATATGCCACATTAACGTTTCACTCAGTAATTTCATTCCATACGGCCCAATTAATTCAGCCAGAGCTCTCAATTCATTAATATCAGAATACTCTTCAGCGTTAAACGGAATAGCACCCTCTGCGGAAAGACTTACGAAAGCTTTTTGATTCATTGAAAAGCAAATACTCCCGGCGCTAACACGTCTAAGTAGGATTTCCGAGTACCATTGTGTATATAGCGAAGCAATAGTTTTCTCACCATGACTATCCATATTTTGTGTTTGTTGCAATAAACAATTATTGAATACCCTTGTAATATCGATATGAACGTAATTTTCGACTGTTTGCAGAACATTCATATATGCTCTGACACTAACCAATAGCTCAGATGGCTTAGCAATTTCACTAGTATCCTGATTGAACATGACCATACCCACTAATGCTTTAGAGAATCTAGTTTCCAAGTGCTGGTGTAAATATTCACGAGGTGCAAATGTGTATTCCCAAACATTTACAGTTGAACAATAATTAATAGCAAAGCACAGTTCTGTCAAGGCCATATGGAGTTTGTCCATTGTAGTCAATTCTTCCCTGGTTTTTCTATAACTTTCAGCCCCAGGTTTAACAATTTCTATTGGATTTTTCTTATTTTTATCCTTTTTCTTCCTGTTAGCAAGATGTGCTATTGTTTGAGCACAATGTTTTGGCAGCAATTTATCACTCATGGTACATTGTTCATCACAAATAGTTGTTATTATATTTTTCGCTTCTTTTGCCATTTCATCCAAGAAAATATTAACTACAGAAAGACTCCTTTCTCTGATATGGTGTCTTTCTTCTGGACAAAGCTCATGTGTGCAATTTTGGAAGTGACTGCAAATAAGAGGAAATGCAATTATATAACGATTTTGGGCTGGAAACTCTAGGCACATGTGGAACTGGCTTTCAAATATTTTGCTATAAAAGCAAAACAGAGATAAGTCTGATGTTTCTACCATTATTTCATCAAGGTTATCTACCATTTTTGTGTGGAATACCATTTTATCAATAAATTGTGCCAACTCCCTCTGATCAACCAAGTTTAATTGTGTTTTACCAACAGAAGTATAAGCTTGTAGTCTAAACCAATCCAAACGGAATGCTCGAAAATCAAAGAGTTCATTGCTTTCCACTTGTTTGACACTTAAATTAGCAGCTGTGTTGCAGAGTGAAGAAAGTATGACACTCTCGTCTTCTGGACACACTTGTAAATTTTGTATCATTAGATTTAGGGCAACTGCATCAAAACCTGACAAATACTGGACATAATATCTTTGCATAACTTGACTGTACTTGCGCACAAGAGCTCTTAGCTCTTCCATATGAAACAGAAGTTCTGGCAGTTGACGATCAACCAAATCTTCGGTGGCTTTTCCTTTTACTTTTTGTGGAGGATTGTCATTATGTCTTAATAGCCAAAAAACTTCATCCCTTGCATAACAAAGACCAATAAAAATCAATAGTGCTTTGGGCCCTAATAACCCTGGTTGATCAGTCAAGATAAGACCTAGCTCTTTTAAGGCTGTTCTTAAAAATTTTCTTCTTTCCCTATGTTTATATCCAGCTTTTTGTACTGCATGATGATAACAATCCTTGACTTCTGAACCTCTTTTTCCATAACCTTTAATTCCATCAAAGAAACTTTGAATATATGTATGTATATAAATAACTTCATCTCGGAATAATGCTACTACCCATCCAGATTCTAATGCACTGACCCACATTTTGTTAGCATGATCTTGTTGCAGCATTTGGTGACATAGGGCAAAACCAAAGATCACCCATCTTTCGAGTGATTCCAAAGAAACATATTCACATGACATTGTATTGGTTTCTGAAGGTTTAAGGAGTAAGGCAGGATTACTGACAAGGCTTAGTTTTTGTTCTGATCTCCAAATCTCTGCAGTAAGATTTCTAGCTGGGTACACATGCCAAAGAGAGTTAAGAGCACTAGATAAAACTTTTTGATGAGGTACAAATTCCTCTGATAATTTCTTCAATGGAGCATCATAATCAACTATCATTTGGCCTAGACGAGGAAAACTTGAATCAATTTGATTGTTTACCAATTCATGTGCTGCATTGAACAAGCCAAGCACTGCTTTTCTGTCTTCTACTCGAGACAGTAAAATCATTAATGACACATATGTTGTAACTAGATCAAGATAATTTTTAGTCAATTCGTAATTAAGGGTCAAATCTAAAGTTACTTGACATGCATCCATTATATTTAAAAGTTCACAAACATTATCCTTAAAATCTAGTAGATCCACAAAGGTATAGTAATATAAAGAGAGTGATTTAATTACTTCATTCTTTATGTTTGTAATTGCTTGCAAGCCTTTTACATCAATACTAGGAAACCTCCTGACAATATGTTTAATTGAAGATTCCAAAGTTTTATCTGATAAAAAGGCAGGTTTGGATTTAGCATCGCCACATGCTTTCTTGATATTGTAAATTCTGGTCAACATTCCAATTCCTCTATCATTTAAAATTATTAGCTTTTCAGCCAGCTTTTGCTGGCTGATATGAACTGTCCTTGAAATAGTAGACATTCTGTAAGAAACAAATTGTATAAATCATAAATATTTATTATTAAGAAATAGAAAAGACCTGTAATACAAAAAGCGGAAATCAATCATTGCGGCACTAACCGTATCGGCCAAACACAGAACAAGAACTCATTTCCTAAATTAATAATTTCCTTAGGATGAAATAGTCGTGGTAAAGTAAAAATAATTTATGACATATTACATCAAGATAGATCGACAGATTAATTAATAATGTTATTATTAGTTTAATGCATTATTTGATATTTACCTGATTAAATTACGTTCTCGTTACACTTCAAGAACTTATAGGTAGATATAATTTCTCATTTTTCGCTTTCGGGGGATTCCATAACTAATGTTTCTTCTATAAATCTGTTTTTTTCTGACTAAAATGATGTTATTTTATCAAAAAGGGAGTGTCTTATCGAGAAACGCGTTCGGCGACCCCCTGGCCCCTTCATTTATTTGGCAATGACAACCAAGTCAATGCTGCCAACTACTAGATATAATTCGTAACTGTATTTTATGAGGAAGAATTTTCGAAAGGAAGGCGCCACACGTATGGCCTATTTACAATCAGTCAGCAGTTTATTGTGATATCTCTTTTATATGTATACCTTGTTTTTGCTTCTATAGATATTATTTAAGATATTATTATTGATATTCTTATGCTATTGATAGATAAAGATTGTGATTTCGTCGATTTTGGTCGTCTTATTGATTTAGCCCACAATTTCTACAGTTTGTGTTTTTGGGGAACAAATAATATCCAATTTCACTACATTCTGACACTATTTTGTGGTTTGTCATTTCCATTAAATCTTAAAAAAAATGAAAAAAAATCATCCACACTATAACGATTTACATTTTACAATATACTAAGGCCCATAGTGATCGCGACATCTGGGGGGAAAAAGTCATCATCATTCTTCTCCATTCTTAGGAGTATAGGTAAGTATCTTATCTGTGGCAGTTTTTTATTTTTATCTGTATAATTTTAGATTATTTCTTTTTATACATCTATGGTTATATTTATTTTACTATAATCTGTGGCAATTGGCATTTGGCATAAAATGAAATCTTAAAATGTCAGAAATCAATTTGGGAACAAATTGTGCATTTCCAAGTGCTAAATATCATTTTTAGTGCATATTAATATATAATTTCTTTAAAATTTAATGACTTTATTAGATAATTATCGAATAAAACGTTTTTACACCAGTTGCATCCGTTAGTATACTAAAACACTCACCATGCCGCGTATTATGATAAAAGGAGGCGTTTGGCGCAATACCGAGGTTTGTTAGGATATTTATTAATTCATAAGATAGTTTTTTTAATAAAAAGTATTATTGAATAAAAATTACCGTTTGTTTTTATCAATTCAGGATGAAATTCTTAAAGCGGCGGTTATGAAATATGGGAAAAATCAGTGGTCTCGTATTGCTTCCCTGCTGCACAGAAAATCTGCAAAACAGTGTAAAGCTAGATGGTATGAGTGGTTGGACCCGAGTATTAAGAAGACTGAATGGTCACGAGAGGAGGACGAAAAGCTATTGCACCTCGCCAAGTTGATGCCAACTCAATGGCGTACTATTGCTCCTATCATTGGTCGTACTGCTGCTCAGTGCTTAGAGCGATATGAATATCTACTGTAAGTTTATATATTTAAAGTTTGTCAAATTACTTTTTTTTATAATTTTATTTCATTGGAAGTAATGGTTTTTTTGTGGAAAAATTTTCAAGGGATCAAGCTCAAAAGAAGGAGGAGGGTGAAGATATGGGAGATGATCCCCGTAAGCTTAAGCCTGGGGAAATTGACCCAAATCCTGAGACAAAACCGGCCAGACCTGACCCTAAAGATATGGATGAAGATGGTAAGAAGGGATTAGTAATTATTAATAAAAAAATTGATATTTTTTTTAGCAATGGTTACATTCACAGAATTGATTGATTGAAATGATTTATGTATCAATAGAAATAAAATATACATTTATTATAAAAAGTATTTTATTCCATTCCATTTAAAAATTGTTTTTCTATTATTTTATTTTAAACAAAAGTATATTTATGTCTCAATAGAGCTGGAAATGCTGTCTGAAGCTAGAGCTCGTTTAGCAAACACACAAGGTAAAAAAGCAAAAAGAAAAGCCAGAGAGAAACAATTAGAAGAAGCTCGTAGGCTTGCAGCTTTACAGAAAAGGAGGGAACTCAGTGCTGCTGGAATCTCAGTACCACTAAGGTAAAACACTAAAATAATAATAATATTGCCCAAAGCTTTGCTTGTAGACTTACGTGGTGCGTCCCTAACTATGTTTTTTTGAGAGGAACCCTAATCCTTTTTTTAAATAAAAGTAGACTTAGTTACTCCTTACAACATCAGCTATCTACCAGTGAAAGTCCTGGTAAAATTAGTCCAGCCGTTTCAGGGATTTGCTGGAACAATTGAACAAACGGACCAAAATTAAAAAAATGTTTTTCTCTTATAAGTACTGTATATAATTTCATATACATTTAGTAAAAAGCTGTCATTTTGACATTACAAACAGACATGTCAATTCTGTTTATCTTTATAGATAATTATACTATTTAAGTAAACTACAGTGGAATCCGTTTATTATATCCGATTATATTGACCAACCGTTTAATATGACGTAATTATGTGCGAAGTTTGGTGTTCATTTAAAATTCTTTAAAACAAAGTTGGATATAATGACTTCGCTTATAGTGACATGTTGCATATTATGACCTATTTCTAAGAAATTATGTTCGGTTATAGTGACCAACACAATTCCTAACAAAACGAAAATTTTACCAGGGCAATGTCTTCTTTACACAAAACTTTTCGGGAATGTTATTACCTACAATCTAAAAAATTATTGATTTCTTATGTAAAAAATATGTAATGTATACATACATATTGTATTATGTACAATTTTTATCGTTTTTCATACATACATGTATATTTGTTTTGTGTCAGTTCATGTTTCTTTTTCTTTTTTTATGAAATAGATATGCATACATATAATTTGTAGTTATTCTCTTTATTAAACTAAATACCTAACAAAATTATTTATTTTCTAAGACTTGATGTTTTGTATGACTTCCGCTTAGTATGACCTGTATGTCACTTCCCTTCGATGTCATTATAAGCGGATTCTACTGTACTTTAAATAAATTTTACAGAAGGAAGCGTAAGCGTGGAGTGGATTACAACTCTGAAATTCCATTCGAAAAGAGACCAGCTGCTGGTTTCTATGACACTTCAACTGAGGTTGTGGATCCTATGGCACCAGATTTCTCTAGGCTTCGTCAACAACACCTGGATGGGGAATTACATTCTGAGAAAGAAGAGGTATGTAAAAATGATTTCTCTGCACATAAAAATATTATATCAATAAATAAATGCTTATGTATTGCAACTTGTAAGCAGGGCTCGGAAATCCGTTCAATTTTTTAAACCGGTTTTAGTCATTGACCCCCCTTAAAGGCTTTTCGGTTTAAGGTTTCGGTTACGTTCTTTAACCGATTAAATCCGGTAAAATGGTTTTGATGAATTTGGATTCCATGAATTAACCAGTTAAAATTAGTTTTTGTGCGTTCACTTTTGGCGCGTTATTGCTAATGGTGAATGGCTTAGTAGAAGGATACATGTAAGCTTCTTACTTATGACTGAATTATCCGGCTTATTTCAGTATCAAAACCGAAATCTAACCTTTCTCTAAGAATAACCATTAACCAGTTTAAGAACGAGTGATGAATCATCAAAATAAACCATTGTTTTCAAACCGGTTCTGAGCCCTGCTTGTAAGTCATAAACATGATATAAACATGTTATAAACATGTTATATAGTGATATAATATTAAACCTTTAAACAAATAATGTTTCTATGATAAAACTAAATCAAACCAAAAATTAAATTGCTTATTCATATAGTTATTATGTTGGTTTTAGAGAGAACGCAGGAAAGACAAGCAAAAATTGAAGCAGCGTAAGGAGAATGATGTTCCTCAAGCTATGTTGCAAGGTGATCAACCAGCAAGAAAACGCAGCAAGCTTGTATTGCCAGAGCCACAAGTGTCTGATCAGGTTAGTCATGTGTATTATGTTATGTGTAACATTTTATAACTTATACATATTGGCATAATTAATAAGTTTAGAAATATGTGAGATTAAATTAGGCTTATCTTGTAAATATTATGACTTGACGACACATGTGTGGCTCAGTTTTTAGTGATCCTACTTGCTGTGCCAGCGGTCGTGGATTCGAGTCCCGCTGAGGCATTCATTTGAGTGATGAGCACGAATGTTTGTACTCCAGTATGGGGTGTTTATAATTTGTATTTATAATATGTTACATACATATTATAAATACAAATTATAAACACCCCATTTAAAGTAAAATATCCATAACATAAGTCTCGTAGCTTACCATGGAACTTGGTTGTGTTGTGTGTTAATGTCCCAACATATTTATTCGTTTATTTATTGTATGTATTTAGTTATAAGCTAACTGTTTTTATGTATCAGTGAATTAAAGTGTATTTTTATTTATTAATTATGTATAATTGATTGAATGAATGAATGAACGATGGCAGGAGCTCCAGCAAGTGGTGAAGCTGGGGCGCGCGTCGGAGGCGGCGCGCGAGAGCGCGGGCGAGGCGGGCGCGGCCACGGACGCGTTGCTGGCGCACTACGCGCTGGCGCCCGCGCCCGCCACCGCGCTGCGCACGCCCGCCGCGCACCCGCACCAGGACAGGTGACAGTTATACAAAAAAATTAAAGAGTGCGTGTATGAATGTGTACACGCGCAAGAAGTAAAACTTCTGTAGGTTATCGCTTCAGTACTCTTTATGAAATTCAATTTATGTTTTAAATAATTAGGATAGATACTAAAATCCTTCCTTACTTACTAAGGTCCTGAAACTTTATTATTTTAAAATACACTAAATCGAATTAGTATGGGATATACAGCAATTTAGTTATTTACGTTAATTATTTTAAATCTATTATTATTATCAAATCATTTACAGGATATTGATGGAAGCTCAAAACGTAATGGCGTTGACACACGTGGACACCCCACTCAAAGGCGGACTCAACACCCCTCTGCATGAATCAGACTTCTCTGGAGCTCTGCCTCAGAGTCAAGTAGTAGCTACTCCTAATACTGTATTGGCTGCACCTTTTAGGTAAAAATAAGATTAATTTTCATTGTTATTCTTTTAATTTTTGTGATGCCAGGATGTAGTATATAAATTGTTGTTATTATATTATATCAGTTGTGTGTGTGTGTGTATATATATTAAACAATAATGTAACATACATGAAAAGAGAAAGTTGGTTGGTTTAAAAAAATCATAAATAAAAAAATGATACAACTTAACTCAAAAACTAAATTTTCTCATATTTCAAATCATATAATGAATAATTCAAATATGACTAAATGGAATTTATCTAACCTTAAATTTTTCTCTAAAAATATAAATCTTTCACTCTTCAAGAAAATATATTTAATTTAAATCAATTAAAAAATGTCCATAAAAAGACAAAAAGAATTGATCCATTCCAAATCCTTTTTTGATGTTGGTTTGAAATGTTATCTTTATTTTTTTATAATTTAATAAACAAACAGATCGACGCGTACCGAAGTATCCACGCCGGGCAGCTTCGCCACTCCGGGACACACGCCCGGCCAGCCTGCGCTTACGGTGATTACTTATCTGTCTATAAACTCTATACATATAAATAAAAGTGTCTATTTGTAATTTCAAAATAACGCCTTTTTAATAAATGCATATGAAATTATATAGGGTACAATTATAAATGAAAAACCAAATTATTAAAATTTTTATCTGTATGTCTGTTTCTTCCGGCTAATCTTCGAAACGGCTGAACTGATTATGATGGGACTTTCACTGGCAGATAGGTGATGTTACAAGGACTAACTTAAGGTACATTTATTTTAAAAAAATATTTAGGGTTCCACTGAAAAAAATTAAAACGTACCTAGGGATGCGTCTGAGCAAAGCTAGGGTAAGTCGCTAGTCATTTATATATATGTATATTAATAGTATAAAGAACAAAATATAAAGTATAATCCCCAATATAAAGAAAGTGATCTATTTAGAATATACTTTCCCCTTTAAAGACTTGTGTGTTTTTTGTTATGTGACTTGTGACTGGGTGTACTTATTTAGAAACGAACAGTTATTAATTGTTAATATACTTTATAATTATGAATGCCTAGAATTGATGATATTATTGAGTGGTTTAGTAGAACCACTTACAAAATATGGGTTTTTAATAAACTGGGAATCATTTAATAATTTATTTTAAAAATTAATTAATATATGAAAATGTTGTAGATATAATTTGATTATAATTTAATTTTTTTTATCTCTCTTAGACTCCAGGTCTACGCGACAAGCTGAGCATTAATACTGAAGACAGATTAAGCACTGGTGAAACACCACAGCAAAGCAATCAGGTATGAGATAAGTTATATTGATGTAAAAGAATTGAAAAATACTGTATTAACTCCTCTGTGTCTTCAATGACATTAAGTAGATACTGTTATAATCTACGCTAATATAAGAGGTAAAGTTTGTAAGTTTGTATGTATAAAATAATCTTCGAAAGCACCCACCCGATTTCAAAAATTCTTTCACTAGTAGGAAGCTATATAACCATCGAGTGCTATAGGCTATATTTAATTCCGATAAAAATGTCTTTACTGTCAGAAATGTCAGTCGTATAATATGCATAATACATATTAGGGTGGAGCGAAAAATTAAATGTTTTTTTTTCTTAGCTTGAATGTTTTCAAAGATGATCACGCGAAACAAAAACAAATTATTCAAAGAAAAAATTTAAAATTATTTACTTTAAAAATCAGTGGCCACCTCAATTTTTTTTTATTTTATTATTTTTTTTCGAAAGCTACATATTCTACCCCCAAAATGGGCACGGGCCTACCTTCAATACGAGGGGGGTCAGGTCATAGTCCACCACGCTGGCCAAGTGCGGATTGGCGGACTTCACATGTCTAATACATATAAATACAATAAATTCCAGCTGAAGGCGTCAGTCCGCAGCGCGCTGGCGGCGCTGCCGACGCCGCGCAACGACTACGAGATAGTGGTGCCGGAGCAGGAGCAGGGCGGCGCGGAGGCGGCGCCCGCGCCCACCGTCGAGGACCAGGCCGACGCGGACGCGCGCGCCGCCAGGGAACTGGAGGAGAAGCGTGTGTAGCTTTGCTTATATTTATTTTTTTGAAATGATAACTTCTTAAACTTAAACTCGGGGTAAACCGCTTCGTTACGTAACGCGTTACGGCGCCAGTCTGGCTTCCCCTTCTCTTGCGCATACGGCAGCGGTAGATGCTTGCGTGTCCTTTTTTTTAAAATTTGACCGCGAGGGTACTGGAGGAGAAGCGTGCTTTTGTTTATTTTTTTTCTTATGAGAAAATGCTTGTGTGTTCTTTTTTAAAAAAGTGTGAATGAAAATAATTTTTGTTTTTTTTTTTTCTATTTATTTACTTATTTATTCAAAGGGAATGCTCTCATATTCTTATTTTGAACGTAACTGTAGAACTACTCTTTTGGTTTTATTTAGAATGTTTGTTCCTAAAAGAAGCAATATCATACATACAATAAATATCCATACTACATATATGTGACTGATCACCTTTAATCTCCATGGAAACTCCGTCAACTGCAAGGATTATTAAAAAAATAACACGTTAATAAAAAAAATAATACATAATAAAAATTATTATTTTTTATTAATTTAGTATTATTACGTTTTAAATAAGAACCTACACATTATTTCGGGATAATTTATTATAAAAAAAGAACTTATTATAAAAAAACGATACTTGATTTTACTAACGTTAAATTTCGATAGTGGCACATCACTATTTAAGAATTGCAAAAAACTGGCAACCCACGTAAGTCAGTTTTGTCTGAGATTAAAAAACAGACTATAGTATATAATGTATTGTTGGTCGGTAGGGTTGGCAGCGCTGGCGCTCCGCAGCAGCGCGGTGGCGCGCGGGCTGGCGCGGCCGGCGGAGGTGGGCGCGGGCGGCGCGCGCGCGGGCCCGCTCACGCCGCTGCAGCGCGCCGAGGAGCTGCTCAAGGCGGAGATGCTCACCATGCTGCACTACGACGCGCTGCACGACCCGCCGCCAGGTACGTGCGCTCGGTGAATAACTATATGTCATAGTTTTTATTTATTTGCATTTATCTGTCAGAGGGATGTGTCTCATGAACGGTGAACGGTGTGAGTGTGTATTTTTATTGCCACTATAACAACAAATAATAAATAAAAATTCAAGGAACATTATTTTAACGTTCGTAATCGATCATCGGAGTTAATACACTACATACATAGAGTAAAAGTCATATTAATAAAAAGTACGATGGTACAGAACAACCCTTCGTCCGCGAATTCGACTCGCATTTAATCGATTTTTTAAATTATATTTACATAAATTTTCTCAAAAAGATTAGAGCCTTTGTTCACATGTATTATTTTGTTACCTTTATTTTGTTAAACATATGTATATATTTTTATGGTACATAAAAAACAAATGAAATTACATTAATAATAAGAATTGCAAAAATGTAATTTTTTTAATCATATTGTATTAGCGATTATATTAATACATTATCATACATAATATTATGTGATATAGTAATAATATATTAAGCATATCAGGATAAGAGAGATTACATTTATACATAACCATATTCATATAATTATCTAGGTGTAGACAAAAAGCGTCTAGTACAGCTGCAGGCGTCCCACCTGGCGCACCTGGAGGCACACCCGTACGAGCAGTTCACGGCGGAGGAGCTGGGCGCGGCGCGCGCGGCGCTGGCGCGCGAGGCGGACGTGGTGCGCGCCGGCATGGCGCACGGCGACCTCGGCCTCGACGCCTACACGCAGGTCTGGGAGGAGTGTCTCGCGCAGGTGGGTGGCTCATAGCCTTTATTGTTTTTGAAGTTAAACTTCTTTACGCACACTGGAGTAAGCTGATGAATGCGTTACGAAAATATGTATGTACGTTTGTTGCCATGATAACCGTTGTTATTGTCTGACAAATGATATATGATATGATATTCTGTCCTTAAATGATATTCTATAAATATATGATTGTAATATATCCAATATGCGTTATTTTAAGTATCTCACCTACCCTAATTATTTAAAACATAAATTGAATTTCATAAAGAGTACCGATAACCTACAGAAGTTATACTTCTTGCGCGTGTACACATTCATACATGCACTGTTTAATATTTTTTTGTAATATTTTTTCCTAGACATGACACACAGGTGGGTGTATGCCTTTTTGATGTGAAACTTCTTTGCGCGCATGAGAGTAAATTTCATTATTCCGTTTGTCATTAGGTTGCCATAATGACTGTTGTTAACAAGTGTACAACATTCGTGTTTGGCGCAGCCGGATGTATGCCTATTGTTTTTTAAATTTTATTGGTATGGCCAAGTAGAGCCTTAGGGTTTTTCTATCTGATGCCAGCTGTCAATAGACAGACGACTCTTACTATTACTCACTAAATCCCATAGCAAAACACAATCGCTATAGTACAATGGAGTAGGTGCATTGCAGGATCGCTTGCACACACACGCACACTAACACTTCAAGATGGGTATAAAGGTGATTAAATTTACTTTTTGGAACTATTGATTGAAGTAAAATTATTGCAATTAATTTTGTGTTATTATATGAAAGAGAATAATTTATATGTATATACATTAACTAGCAGAAACCGCGGCCTCGCTCGCGCTAAAAGTGCAAAAAAAAACTCTGGCTTTCCCTATTAGTAATAATGTCTGCACGATTTCTTAACATTTATGATAACTGCTCCACTACCATGGCTAGTGGCATAATGATATATAGCCTATAAGCCTTACACAAAAGACGGGCTATCTAATACAAAAAGAATATTTCAAATTATATAAATTAGATTAGTAGTTCCTGGGATTAGTGCGTTCAAACAAATAAACAAACTCTGCCTCTTTATAATATTATTAGTATAGATAATGTTGTTAATATTTATGATTTTATTATTGCTTCAGGTGCTCTTCCTGCCCGGTCAGAACAGATACACACGTGCCAATCTCGCCAGCAAGAAAGACAGACTCGAATCCGCTGAAAAGAAACTAGAACAAAACAGAAGTCACATGGCGAAGGAAGCCAAAAAGTGTTCCAAAATGGAAAAGAAGTTACGAGTGCTTACAGGTAATAATTTTATATAAAGTGAAATATATTATTACGTGAAGAAGCAGTGAGTTTTAATTAGTGTAAATTGGCCAAAGTTTAGAATTCTTTAACTTTTATATGAGGTTTTATGTGTTTAAAAAATATAAATTCTCATTAATCTTAAATATAATTTACTGATTGTAATTATAGGAAATGTACCTACAATTTTAAATGACTAATTTTAATTTTTAACAGGCGGTTACCAAAGCAGGACGGCGTCCCTTGTAAAACAATTCCAAGAGTTACAAGATCAAATAGAGCAAGCGAATTTAGAGTTATCAACTTTCAAATTTTTAGCTGAACAGGAAAAGGCTGCCATTCCAAGAAGAGTAGAGGTGATTACTTATCATTTTATTCATATTATAATTCAATTACATTAAATTATTTCGAATATAATCTTTTTAACCCCCGAAGCAAAAACGATGGGGTGTTATAAGTTTGACGTGTCTGTGTGTGGCATCGTAGCTCCCGGAAGGATGAACCGAGTTTGATTTTGTTTTTTTTTCTGCTTGAAAGGTGAACTAGTCGGGAGTCTTCTCAGCTATGTTTGATGAAAATCGGTCCAAGATGGCCGCCGCCACAAAATGGCGGATTACATATTTTTTCATAACTCTGTCGATATAGGTATCAAATGAAAGGACTTGACTAGTAGAATATTATACAGTATGATAAATTTCGAATCCAAGATGGCCGCCACCACAAAATAGCGAATTACATGTCGGGGGTTTTTTAAGTTTTTAATTTAATTCAGTTATTTAAATCCGTGATTGTATTTATGATGAAAAGTAAAAAATAATATTTGTTTCAGTCGTTAACAGACGATGTCAATCGTCAAACGGAGCGTGAAAAGGTGTTACAAAAGCGATACGCGGAATTGCAAGCAGAGCTCGAGGACTTGCACAAAGGCAGGCAGGCCAAGGACGCGGCTCCACCTAAACCTGTTGAAACTGACACATAACTTATAATTGATTCAAGTTAAATACTATATTTAGATAGATTAACCATATTCTGACATGCTTTTCAACAATAATAATTATAAGAATGGAATAAATAATAAGTTAGAAGAGTTTCGTTTCATTTATTTAAATAACTTTTGCCTCCATGATTGTAAAATGAACACAACATCAATAACATTTCAGAAATTTTGGAAATATTCAGTTGGATTACAATGAATATGAATGTGATAAAATCATAATAACACTAAAACAATATACAATCAAAAACAAATTTATAATATAGCTACTTGTGCTAAAGTTATAATATGAATTTGAGTACATACATATATATCGTTCTGTCTAATAATATTAACTTTTCATAAATAAAACATTGTTTCAACCATTCATTATTTTAAACCTATTTACACAATATAAATATATATATATATATATATATATATATATATATATATATATATATATATATATATACTAGCGGACCCGACAGACGTTGTCCTGTCTACACGTCTTTAATTTGAAAATTTCAAACTTTTTTTAATAATTTTTTTGATGAAAATTATTATTCAAATTGTGAATCTAAACCATTCCCAGATCCCCTTGAATACACACAAAAAATTTCATCAAAATCGGTCCAGTCGTTTGAGAGAAGTTCAGTGACATACACACTCACAGAAGAATTATATATATAAATATATATATAATTACAATTCAATTCTTTCAAATTGTTACATTTTTGTAGATAAGCTCATGTAATGTACGACCGCGTTTATATTTACATACATCGAACGACTATATAAATAATATGATTTAATCATGATATCACAGCCAACACAGCATCCGTTAGTAACTGAACTATACAATCCCTACACTACAGTATAATGAAAAGTAACAACTAAGATGGACTAAAAGAGACAAAGGCTAAGCGACAAATTATCACGCGTTAATAAATTATTACAAAAATATTTATCATAATTTTTATATGTTTTTTTTGAGATCTCATTATACATGAATGCGAGTTGTTAGATTTCATATAGATACATGAATGGACTCATTACATAACATGTACTTTATGCTAAACCTCTAGTTTAATTCGTCGTGTAAATTGAACACTTGAGTAATGCTAGCTACTATCATCTGAATCGCTTTCTATGTGCATTCTCACTGTTTTTAATTTTCTTTTAAAAATAGGACTTTCACCATTTGCTTGAGATTGACTCAAATGTTTCGAGGGTCTTCGTTTTCTTCTTCTCTCCTCCAAAATCATTTCCGCTACCTCGAGTTCAGATAACTCATTCGCTTGAGTTAAACCAACATTCGAGTCGTCTACGCAAAAACTATCCTATAACAACAACAACAACAGAGTAAGCATTTTTTTTATTAACGAAAGATTAAATGTAATAATGCAAAATATATAATATAATGAAACTAAAGAGTTTATTCGTTTAAAAGAGTTAATCCCTGGAACAGCTATCAGCCAGATTTGAAAGGCCCAACTTTAATGTTCGGAATTCGTCCCTATTAATTATATGAAAAATAAAAATGTAAGATAGGATTCACTTACCATCTCATATGTATCATTCTCAACCCAGGTTTGAGAAAGTATCTCTCTTTTATTAAATTTATCTGGCAGCTGCGGTATTTTGAAAACACCTTTGACTGGGCTTCTGAAATGAACAGGGTAATATTTATTATTTATAGCCTTAAAAATGTGTTAGTCCTAACATCCATGTGGTGTAATGGTGAAAGCAAATCTAAATTAAAACAATGTAGTACCTATACTAATATAGATAACTGTCTCGGTGGTCTAATGGCTAGCATGTACGGCTATAGATCCCGCGGTTCTGGATTCGAGGATCGAGTCGGGACAAATTTAGTTGAGTTAAGATAGTCACAATAATTGCCCGTATTTAGATCAATAGTTGTAAGTTGGCGTGTCTCGGAGAGCACGTGTCGCGTCGGTCCTGCGCCTTAACTCTCACTGGTCGTGTCGAGTGGTCGTCCCACCGGAGTATGAGAGTGACAGGAATAGAGAGTGCACGCTGTGTGTGCGCGCACACTCACGCGCGCTGCACTCGATCCTAATAGCTCTTGCGCAGTTGATTAGTCTTTGTAAGATTGGACACCGTGGCCGAAATCAATAAGAAGGACATCACCATCATTATTATCTATACAGATAAATAAAATTGAAGTGTCTGTTTGTAATGTCAAAATAACAGTGTTTTACTAAATGCATATGAAATTATATACGGTACTTATAAGAAAAACACCATTTTTAAAATTGTTGTCTGTATCATGTTTGTTCCAGATAATCTCTGAAACGTCTGGACTGATTTTGACGGGACTTTCACTGGAAGATAGCTGATGTTATAGGGAGTAACATAGGCTACTTTTATTTTAGAAAAAGAATTGGGGTTCCGCTCAAAAAAATTAAAGTGTACCTTGGGATAAATCCGAGCAAAGCTAGGGTGAGTCGCTAGTTGATAATAAAAACAGTACAGAAATGAGGTTTGATGAAATACTTACTTCACCGACTTCAAATAATGAGCGTGCATGTCGTCATCCTCCTGTAGCGTGGCGCTGTCGTCACATATAAAGTCGAGGATGGAGCCCACACTGTCGTCGGACAGCTCGTCGCCCGAGCTCGACCCGTCGCCCGACAACTCAGCTTCCAATTCCAGGAACTCGTTGTTTTTATCATTTTTCTTCTTATTCTTGAAACACTATAAAAATTATATAATATAATTATTAAAGAAATCGTCAGTTCGTAATGTGGTTCCACAGTAACCCAGCGTGTCAAGGTCAAGGAATCTGTCAATATTAAGACCAGAATATAACACGTTAATAAATTATTAAAAAAATGTTTATCATAATCTAATATGAAAATTTTGTTTAGACCTCATTATGAATAACGGTTGCGAGTTGCAATTTTTACATGGCTTAAAATAACCAAAGATGATACAAGTACCGATACCCCATTACTCATCAGCCTTCCCATACAAAGAAATTTGATAAATCTAAGTCGGCTATTTTCTATATAAATGTATGAAAAATGGTGTTGATCTGATTTTTTTTTATTTTCCTATTATCAGTTATACAAGGAATTTTAATTTAAGAAAGCATTATTTTGCTTTACTTCGGGATTTTTTTTATAATAATTAGAATATAGTGGGCATTATATTACTTTAACGTACAACGGACCAAATGCGAGTCTAAGTGCGGAAAACGAGTCTAATATACAATACAATTATATTACTATGATGAAGACACTTACTTTTCTCATCTTATGATAAGGGAGTCGCACCTCGCTGGCAACGCGTTTCTTCCGCGGCCCGGAGCTCTCGAAGTCGTCGTCACTGTCGCTGAACGTGAGTTTCCTTTTCATGCCATTCACTGGCGTCGACGTGTTCGTGGAGTTCCCAACCAAATGTTTCCCATTCACGCTACTATCACGCCGATACATTTGCAGCTTTGCAATATTACTCTTTATTCCAGTATTACATTTCTTTTCTAATGGGCTGTCTATAAAATTACTGTCATGTCCACACATATTTTGTAGCTTTGTTACATTACTTTTTGTTTCATAGTTATCTTTTTCCTCTTTGGGGCTCTCTAAGTTATGTTTATTTTCCTTCCCAAATTTCAGAAGAGGAGATCTGACCATAAAGTTCACATGCGAGTCTTTATCCCCGAGCGGATCGGTATTAAACTTACTAGAAGTGAGCGCGGCCAGAATCTTCTTTTGTAAAGTCGTGGCCTCATTGCGATCGTTTGTTAATTTAAGTTTCTTATTAAAATATGGCGAATCTTCATCATTTTGTTTAGACTTTTGCGCAATCGAAGAAGATTTGTTGTCTGTTATTCCTTCAGTCTTACTTTTTTCCTGCATTTCTATTTGTTTAAGTTCTTGAGTGTCGAATTCGAAGTCACTGTCGCTATCACTATCGAGGATGACTAAACTTGTTTGTTTGACTTGAGAACCTTTTAATGCACTGGAATCTATCGTATGGGAGTTTTTCCGTCGGTCGCGTAGAGTCAACAGTATGGGGGAAGAACTCCTTTCATTCTCATACACTCCTTTACTTTCATTCAAAGCTTTATGAGAACTACTCGAACCAATTGTGCTATTATTTTTAGTTCTATTTATGAAATCTATAATCTGTGTTATTGTTAACATGCTTTTGGAACTAATGTCCTTTGATTGTTCGCAAGATTCAGATATTTCTTTTGGTGAAGCTATTATTGTACCTTGCGGTTTGCTCATATCCAATCGTTTTTTCGAACTCTTCGGGGTAGAGCTCTGTATATTTTTTGTTATACTCAATTTATATTTATTTGTTTGTGAACAGAGTATGGGTGATGTTGGAGCAGAGTTCTTTACAGCTACACCGGAGAGTATTGATGGGCTTTTTAGGTATACATTTGGTTTATTATCTTTGTCCTCTATACACTGTACATCACAGTCGACTTCTACAGGTTTAATATCAAACATTATATGATCTGAAGTTTTTGCATTAAGTGATTTAAATTCTTTATCTTTTTGAATATTCGAATCAGAATCTGAATCTTCAAACAAATCCTCGATACTGTTTAAATGGAAAAATTCTATATCTTTATCATCAGTTTTGGTCGTGTCTTTTGCTTGAGGTGCGATATTAATTTGTTCAGTAAAATCAGTGTCTTCAGAACTGCTATCTGCGAATATATCTTCTACATCGCCGATATCGAAATTAATTACGATATTTTTATCAGGTTTCGTATTATTATTAATATTTTTTCCCTCCGATTCTAATACACATAATTTTGAGTCTAAATTCTTTTCTATTACTTCATTATTTATATCATCAAACTTGTTAATATCACAGTCTGATGAAACATTATTTGATGAAGTCTTGCCGTATTCTATTAGGAAATCTCTATCAAAATCGTCTATTAACGAGATATTGGGTAAGTACGGCTCACTATGTATTGGCAAAAACAAAGGCACATTTCTTTCATTTCTCATTTGTTGTATAATTTTACAATCACAAATGTTATGACAAGTCCAGCAAAGTTTGGTCATATTTTTATTTTCCACACTCAAATCTACGAATATATTTATTAACTTCGTGGGTATTCTCTCGTCATTGTGAATTCCCAATTCGTTTATAAGTTTTGTGTAACTCTTAGTAGATTTGGTGGCGGTGCTGAATATAGCTCTAATATCGCCATCTTTTTTAAAAGGAGATTTTAGCAAGGGATTTTTTTGTTTTTTCTTAACTTTAGTTTTGACGGGCGATAAGAACACATTCGGGGTTAGTGATGCTGGGTAAGAGCCTGAAAAAAAAAACATGATTTTCTCTTTATTATAATAGCAGAACATTTGTAGGTAGTTTGTTATACTTCTATAAAAAAATAAGTTTTACTAAAGGTGCCTTAGCTTAAATCTACAATCGCAAAATCAATTACTTAACTAGTAGATCTTGAGCTCTATATTCTATATTATGTCATTAGAAGCAAGGGTCACGTTTGTTTGATACTAAGCCGAAGTCTAAAATGAACAGCGATAGATAAAACGAAATTTGCAAATTGACCAACCTTGAGTCTCAGCCAGCGGCACATCTTCCTTGGTACTGTTGTAATTCAGTAACTTCACTAATATTTCAGTATCAGCTGAATGGCCGACGAGAGCAGTTGTCTGTAAGATCCTTTGATTGTCCAACCAAGTTGATAAATTTAATTTAGAATCACTTCTTATTGTGAGCAGTTTTTCTGTAATAAATATTATTAAATAATAAAAATAACTTCGTTACCAGATTACTAAAGTATAATAGTTTGATGTTGGTTTCTGTCCACACTAAAATATTAAAAGCCATTATAGGGCCACTCAAACTTCAACGAGTCTAACATTTAAAATTGAAAAATAAATCTAAGAATATAGTGTACACTATACATTGCATATTACCACTGAATTAGTAGCGACATTTAATTTATAGGACCAATAATTTTATGTAAATTTAATATGAGCTAAAATAGTAAAGCTTTGTATTTTAAATAAAACTACCTTTTCAGATTTTTTTTCGGATTTATTTAGTCTCTCCCGTGACCATAATTGCCGTAAAGTATTCGAAACGTTGGGAACCAAAAATCAAAATAAATCCGCGAAGTAATCCGAAAATTATATTCATATAAGATGTCAAATATTCACGTAAATCTAAGAAAGTATTAAACTTTGTATTCTTGGCACTTTTTTAAACACTATATTTTTTGCTTAAAAGTTATTGAGCATTTTCATTGAATCATTATGAAGTAAATATGAATATATACTAGTGTCGCAGTCCGAAATTCGTAAGCCATAAACTAATGTTATATAATATAGTATACATTATAAAATTACTACCTCAGTGGTCCGAAGTCAGTCAGGAGGACATTATTATCATTACTAGAGAGTTATTCGTCCCTAGCTTGCTTCCCAATATAAACTTTCAACTACATTTTACCCCCTTAAGGGATGATTTCCGGGATAAAAAGTATTCTATGTCATTCCCAGGGTCTCAAACTATCTTCTTACCAAATTTCATCTAAATCGGTTCAGTAGATCCAGAGATTACCCCCTACAACGTCACAAACTCATAAACTTTACCTCTTTATAATATTAGTATAGATAAAATCACAACTGACCGCTGCTCATAGCCCAGTATTCGCGGGCCGGAGGGAAGTAGCGAGCGAGGCGACAGCCGGACGGGTAGAGTTCCTCAAATTCATCTTTCGTTAACAAATCTTTGTGGTCACTCTTCGATGTAACCGACCCTTTGTCTAGTAACATAGCCCTTAAATCCTTTTGACCCTAAAAATAATGTATTCACTTATTTACTAAACGTATAAAATAATTATTTTTTGTTAATAAAAATATTAAATAAATAAAATATATGGTGACAGCGGATTGTACTTGCTTTGTTCAGGTCCTAATTTTAAAAATGTACGTTCTTTAGTAAGAATTTTCTATGACCTACGGGATTTTATATACTATATAATAAGTGGCCTTGGTCACTTGGTCTGTAAATTATCTTAAATTAGTCACTATCAGTCTCATTTATTGGAAAAAAAAATTTCGGTCTAAACTTAAAAGTCTAAACTAAACTTAAGTAGGATGCAGATGTGCCATCCCCAGATATATTGTGTGCTAAATTTCATTAAAATCCGTTCTTAGGTTACCATAGTTAACCATAAAGAAATGAGCTTCAACATTATTAATATATTCATTAATTCATTGTTACAGCTTAGCATTATACAGACAAACACACAAACCAACAATTCATAAAAATAGTAAGGTTAGAAAACTTTGTCATTTGAAAAATGTGTACTATTCCATTCACCAGCATGTACCTATTTATTATAAGTTTATATGAAACACTGTCCATACAAAAAGTTCTATAACGAATCTAGCGTGATCATTTCTACATAACACTAGTTGTTAACGCCGTTTCGTCTGCTACTAATTTCCATTCATCTTTTTTTCCACGCGCGGTTTACATGTCGGGTCCAGATTAAAAATTGTATATACTTATTCTAAAGTACAAATTACACAAGTATTTGAATTTAATGTGGATTTTGTTCCACCCGTTCATCTACATATTCTTCCGAACTATAGTTATTATGACATTGTTGGTCGATTAGTTGAAAGATCACGTTGGAGTGTGTCACAAATATCTTCATTCGTGAAGTGTAAATAAAATACCTTTTTAGATTTAGTTGTTGATTTTTCGGTGGTGTCCTTTTTGTTTATTTTTATGAATGTCTTGTGGCAGTCGGGGAAGACGCCCGGAGGCAGCATGCGCGGGTTGTGTTTGTACAAGTTGTCTTGTACTTCCTTAGACCTCAGCACACTGTAGTTGAGTCCGTCGCGTTGTCGCATACTGTCGAGTAACACCTGACGATGAAAATATATGATTTAATATTTATATAATTAACTAGCGATTTACCCACGCTTCGCTCGGCTGCGTTCCTAGGAACGATTTTGTTCACAATTTCATGGGTTTTAATTTTTTTGCGCGTAACTCTGATTCTTTTTCTAAAATAAAAGTAGCCTATATTACTTCTTATAACGTCAACTATCTGCCAGTGAGTCCCGTCAAAATCGATTGTCGTTTCGGAGATTAGCCGGAACAAACACGGACAAAAAAAATTAAAAAGTGATTTTTTCTTTTAAGTACCATAAAGTATATGCTTTCATATGCATTAAGTAAAAAGCTCTCATTTCGATATTACAGACACTTCAATTTTATTTATCTGTATAGATAACTTACGACAATATAATCATAATATATCCACAATATTCTATGTATTTAATAAATGATATTTTACGTTTTATTCGGCGATATTATACCCAAATACTGCTGTTTTTTTTCTTTTTAATTCTGAATTTCTAAATATTTCGATTACTAATAAATGAAATTTTATTACTTTCTTATATTACGCGAATATTTGATATTATAAATAAAATTATCTTTTCGGATTTTTTTCGGAGATTAATTTTGATTTTTTGTTCACGTTTCGAATGCTTTACAACAATCATGGTCACGGAAGAGTGACTAGCTCGCGTGACTGTGGTGTGTCGCGTGTGTGTGTAGACGCGAGGGGAGAGGCTTAAAATAAAAGAGAAATAAAACTTTATTTAAAATAATGAAGTTTTAAGAGAAACAATAAAAAGCTAGAGACTGTTTTGTAATTTTAGTTGTATATTTTTAAGCATTTTTCAAGTGCATCTGCATACATATTTCTATACTTTTACTTGTTTGTACTTTTACTACTATGTATGTTTCCATACTAATATTATAAATGTGTAAGTGTGTTTGTTTGTCCTTCTTTCACGTCGAAACGGAGTGACGGATTGGTATGATTTTTTGTATGGAGATATGGCTGGAGAGTGACATAGGCTGTTCTTTACCGTGGGAGATTATTTAATTCCCACAGAGAAACACGTCATAATACAATTCAAAAAAAAATATGATCAGAATTATTTGAAACTTGATATTAATGCTTTTTAATAAAATTAAATAAATACGTGTTTTAGCATTTTACGAAATCCATCCTATTAGGGGGTAAAATTGAGGATAAAAGTTTGTATAAAACTAACTTTTTAGAGATTTTTTTTACAGTTAAAACTGTAAAAGCTAAAGCACGAGCGAAGCCGCCGGTTGTGCTAGTACACATATGAATACGTTTTCTATGAATACTATAATATATATTGTGACCATACTAACCTGGTGTTCGCGCCCCTCTGTGACGAGTATGTACACGTGGCCGCCGCGCGAGCGCCCCGTGCGTCCGCACCTGCAATGCATGCCCACACTCTGTCAGATTGCTCGACACCTATCAGTTAAACTAAGCAAAGCAAGAATAAGTTTGACTGAGTTCTAGTCGACAAGAAAATATGAAGTTACAACTTCTATTTAATTTACGAAAAAAGAAACAAAATTCAATTTTATAAAATCTATAGTTTACATGAAAATAACAAAAAAAAAAACAAAATAAAATATTTTATGAAATCACAGATAGACTCACAGACAAATAAATCTTATAATAACATACTATAAAAATTAAAAAAAGCGTGCGCGCGACACTTGCATTGCTACGCGCGTGTACGTGTGGCGTGACGTACCGCTGCACGAGGCGCACGGGCGAGCGCGTGGACACGTCGAAGCACAGGATGAGGTCGACGGCGCCCACGTCCAGCCCCTCCTCCGCCACGCACGTGCACACCAGCGCGTTGCTGGCGCCGGCGCGGAAGCCGCGCAGCGCGCGCGCCTGCTGCCGCTGCGACGCGCCCGCCCGCTCCTTGCCTGCGCCAATGCGACACACTTATACTCACTCGCGTAATGATCACTCGCGTCTCGCGTTAACTTATCTATACATATAATAAAATTCTAACTAAGCCGAATCTGTACATTAAATATTTTTTGAAAAATCTTATTGAAATAGTCATTATTATAAGATACAGAGGCTAAATCTATAGTTTTTAAAACGTATGTTTGTCTGTCTGTCTGTTACCGCATCACAAAAAAGTACAGGATAGATTTTAATGAAATCTGGTATGGTGACATCTGGTTATCCGAGTCAACATATAGGATACTTTATTATCTTTACTGCGGGAAAACATTTCATCTTTGAGAAATCTATACAAAACGTTAAAACAGAAGTAGGGACGAACCCGAGCGAAGCGAGAGTGAGTCGCTAGTTCGTTATATTTAAATTTTCAAATTAATACAGTTATTTTATACATTCCACTCTCTATCATTTACCAATCTCCAACACCGCGACTTCGCCCGCATTTAAACTAACGATATAAACTTCTATTTTACAATAACGTATGAAAGTCTACCTGATTTGTTGTCATTTGTGATTACTGGGTACTCGCTTGAGTAGTAGCATGATGATATATAGACTAAAACCTTACTCAATAAACGGGCTATTTAATACAAAAAGAATTTTTTAAATCAGATTAGTAGTTTCTGAGATTAGCGTTCAATCAAACAAACAAATAAACTCTGCCTATTTATAATATTAGTGTAGATACACATTGCTGCAGACATATTAGTAAGCCAGAGCTGGTATATGATGACCTCTGAAGTTGCAGGCTATTGCATCAGCCGATGATGCCTAATTATGTTATATTAATTTTGCACATTTTTCATCACCACTAACCAGAGGCACCTTGACCAACAAACATCTGCGGTACGATGAGAGGCCGACACTGCAGCAGCAAGCAGTGCACGAGGTTCACACTCTCACGGTATTCGCAAAACACTAAAAAAATAAATTAAATGGCTGTTGAGTTTGTTATGTTAAAGATACAATTACAAATAAGTTATTGAATACGATAAATAAATATGTATTAAGTTCTCACTTCCTAATTATTTTTAGATAAATCCAAATTACTATTATTGACCCTACTCGGAATATAAGACCTTTCAGATCATTCTCATCAGATCTTCAATCTTCCTCTTGATCACTCATTGGTCATGTGGTATTGTCATCCCACCAGACTTTAAAGAGTTAAAGAATAGTTCAAATTTAAAAATTAAATATCTTTTTTTGTATTAAATTATTACAATTTTTTACTGAACATCATGAGTCTACCACCAGTTCGGAAAGAAGAAGCCTCGGACTTGAGTAGAATTGACAAAAGAAATTCAGCGAAACTAAAATTTAAATTACAATAATTCTACATGATTGATAATGTTTGCGCACACGCACTCCACTGTAACTAATTTCCACCACAGTTGGCTAGTAAGATTGGCCGTCGTGACCGAAATTGAAATAAAATCTTTATTATTCTTTGTTATTTTTCCTGTATTACTGTTTTAATAATCAAAAACGCATTACCTATGGCTTTAGTTTCCTCGCCTTTTTGTTTCGCCTCGTTGAAATGTTGCAACATGATTTCTTTCAATTTGTCAAACTTTGGGTGACCGAATGTTAAATTTTTTGGCATCTAAAACAAAATAAAAAATATGTATAATGCAAATAACATTATGTACATTAAACTTAGAAAGTAGAAATTCTAAATTCCACTGTATATTTTTTATGGAATATTAAAATATTTTCAAAAGAATAATAGATATTCCCGATTTTAAACCGACATATTTCATTTTTTATGGGAAATTTATCCCAAGAGTTGAATGTCAATAATAAACAAAATTATAAGCAAATAACTCACTTCGGGTATTGTCCCATCGGGTAAAATACTTCTGTCTAAAGATAGGGGGTTGATTCCGAGATCATTCCTCAATTTGTCCAGAAACGCCATGAGTTTTTGGTCTGATTGTATCCAGGATTTTTCTGGATGTTCATCGAAAAAATTCAAGAACACTCGCGAGCCGTGCTTCACTAGCAGCTCGAGGCCGTGGTAGAGGGCAATTAAGAATGTGAAGTCTTTCATTATGTAGCTATGTTTTGGATGCCTGTGGATTTTCAAATTGGATATTAATACTTTCTTAGATTTATGCGAATATTTGATATTTTAAATAAAATTATCTTTTCGGATTTTTCCCGACATTTCGAATGCTTCACAGCAATCATGTCATCGGAGAGACTGGATGTTCGAAACTTCGGGAACCAACAATCAAAATAAACCCGCGAAAAAATCAGAAAAGATAGTTTCATTCAAATTGCATATTGTTATTCAGTTCAAAATGAGAGGAATGTACGCTTCTATTAAAGTATAAGGTATTTTCAAATGAATAGATATAAGTTTTACTACATTTTACTTTCGTCGAGCCATGTTTAGGCGACTGTTCTCAACGTCGCCATTCATTATGTGTCGTCTTAATTTTTAAAATCTTTAACATTTAAATATTCACCTGGCTCCACGTTCCCTGCTTTGGAATTCTTTGTACATCATCACTATCCGTCCCTTAGATAGATTTCCAACATTTTGGGGTAAAATGTTGAGTTGCTTAAGTCTCCTTGCATACACATCCAAAATCTGTAATATGACAATATAATATAGTAATGTTTAGAAGCCAGCAACTTAACATAAAAAATAAAAATGTCATTAAAATAGTTCATTTCTAAAAGTAAACTTTGTATTGGTCAGGGTGAGTTTAATAATTAATAGAGTTGAATCTATTATTGCATTGCAATTTATATTTCAGTACAAAAATGTTTTAAGCAAATCAAAATTCCTTAACACTGCATTATAATGTCCACATCGTCACAGGAGATTTTTTTTTTTTAACGTTGGGAAATGCATTTACGCACGACGTGTGGGACTCACCGGCGTAATACAGCCAGTACTACCCACTAAAACCCAACAAAAACCTTCCCCCGTCTTAATGGGGCGTCGCAGGATCGCTTACGCATTCAACTACGACGCCCCGACGGCAGGTCTGCCGAAGCAGACCACAACCATGGGGTTGCTTCAAGGTCCACTCTGCTATCAGAGAAGTACCAGGAGCAACCCGCAAGGTACACCACCCCCCGAAGAGGGCCGCCTCCCACCGCCCACCGAAGTGGGCAACCTCCCTGTGCGTTTCTTAGCTTCGCGCCCGGTTGGATTGCCGGGCACTACTGAGCCCCCCCACCACGACAAGGTGAACGCACGTTGGGGGGGATCGTCACAGGAGATTCATCAACATACTTCAACATACTTTGGACACATGCATCTTTTACATATATATTTTTTTAATTATATCAAAAAGTAATTTACCTCAACATACTGCTGTCTTAAATAAGTGAGTTCAGGACCAAGTTCTATAATGACTGTATTTATTTTACGGGAATGGCAATATGGTTCAACATCTTTACTAGTCTCTGTTCGTATCTCTAAATGAGCTATGTTAAGATTTTTTATAATCTAAAACAAAAAAAAACACAAAAAATTGTTATTCATACAAAACATCACATTTATATCAGTCTTCTACACATATTGATATACTGATTAGCATGTACAAAATATGTAGATTATAGATCTTTCAGTCTTGGGTTTGCATCGCAGACCAAGAATAGTTATTGCCTTTTCTATCAATACATTCTCAATAGCAACCTAGATTCAAGAAGTTAGAGATGTTACACTCCCCTAAGCATTTAATATCATCTGTTTTGCTTAATTTTGCTTTGTTATTAACACTAGATTATAAAAGTGAAAGGATTAGATTGTACTTGAGTCTCTATAACAACTGGTTTAGGATGTATTCTTTCTATCCATCCATACCTATATAAATAAAAAGGGTACTGTTGCAACATGCTACTTATTAATTTTCATATTTTAAATAATTTTATATAAATACACATACTGTGATAACATCTTCAACTTTATTTCCTGGTGTTGCAGACAAAGCAAGAACCCTGAACCATGTGTGCCCAATGTTCGCAAGTGATGAAATAATATGACAATATGCATAGTTTCCTCTTGCTTTATGTGCTTCATCTATAACCAAGCAACGAATTTTATCCCCAGGACATATCCCTGATTTTATGTCATTATCTATTACTTGTGGCGTAGCAAAAAACACTCTCTTTGTTTCCCATTGATTTTTTCTTGTATTGACCTGCATATGACCTAGAAATCAAATATAGACTTGATCTATTGTTCAACTAAATATTTAAAACTGAGCCATTGAAATATGATTTTGAATGGTTAAATAGATTACTCATACTCAATTACACTCTACCTGTCATTTCCACTGTATCCGCAGGGGGAATGGCTACAATATTATAACAGGCATTAATTTGCTGTGCTACCAATGGTTTAGTAGGTGCTGTAAAAATTATTTTACCCATTGGATACCAACGATAGAAATTATACATTATAACTGCTGCTATAAAGGTCTTGCCCAAACCAGTTGGCAGACTTACCTGAAAAATTAAGATTTTCAGTCAAACTTTGCAAGATATTGTTTTTAATTAACAGATATATTATTTTAAAACTTACAAGTGTGTTTTTCAAAATTGCAGCTTTTATTATATTGAATTGATAATCCCTTACTGGGTAGTTTGTTGGATAAATCCATGTTTTGCCAGTTACTTTATCATATCCAATTGTTTCTCTGTCACTACTTAGAGCACTGAAATTAAAAACAAAATATAAGTATAACCTTTACTGATGAGAAGTATACAATAATTATTGTTTCAATAAATATTAAGTTTGTTTCAATAAATATTAAGTTGCTTAATAAAATACCTCAAACTTAAAACGTTATCTATATCACTTTTATTTAGATTATCGTCTTTAAAAATTGAATTTTCGAAATTTGCCGCCAATATTGAATCATCAAACACTTCATTATCTGAATAGTCACCAATTTTCTGTATAGTATGTTCCATGACAACAATACCATTATATTATAGTTAATACTGGACCACCAGAAACTCAATATACTTAATAATTAAAGAGGGAGCTCGTTATTTATAATAAAGAAATGTCAAGTATTCATTTTTGTATAATGGGACATTTTTACAATTGCTGTAAAGTAAATTGTCACACTATTTAGTGTTTATACTAGTAAAAGTTTGAGAGAAATATTTGTGTTTATTGAAAATTGAGCGAAATAACTAATCAATGAACTATGACATTGACAATTCACAATTGGCAATTAGCATTAAATGTCAATTCAATTGTTAACATGTTTGAATAGTGTCAAACATGGATGACAAATAGTGTCAAATAAGCAATATTGTACAGTGGTTGAAAGACCTGCACAAAGCATTATTATTTTTAGCACCTATGGAGAGTAAAAGTAAGGAGAACTATCTTATATGGTAGACAAAATGGAAAAGATAGAAAAAAAAAACTCTAAGATAGAAACATCAGTTCAAAACCCCACCAGTTTAATTAACCATTAACGGTTATTCATAGAGAAATGTTTTAATACCAAAGTAAGCCGGTTAATTTATTCATAAGTAAGAAACGTTCACGTATCCTTCTACTTCACCATTGATCATTAGTCAAATCACAAAAACTCATTTTAACTGCATAATTTACACCATGGAACCTAAATTGGTCAAAAACCGTCATCCGGGTTGTAAACGGTTAAAGAACGTAACTGAAAAGAGAAACCTTAAACCGAAAAACCTTTCGGTTTCGGGTCAATGACCAAAGCCGGTTTAAAAATTGAACAGGTTTTCGACTTTCGAGCCCTGGACTTGTATAGTTATTGAAACTATTTACGTAGTCCAAAATAATTTAGTAAATACAACAGAAAAAATTGTGGTGATATAAGCGTAGAAAGTTATTTATTTTGTGTGAACTTTCAATAATACTTTTGGCGCTTTCCTCAAAATGTACCCCCTTGCTACCGTGGCGCCACCTTAATTTAACGCTTTTCGACGTAAATCTTTTGTTACAGAGATTTCTTTTTACCTCTATCCTCCATATCATTATCAACACGTTCGAAAGTTTTTTTATCTTTTGTGATTTTTGATAGATTTTCAAGATACAATAGTCATTCACAAACCGATAAAAATTGAATGTGTAAGTAACTGCATGTTGGTTTTTTTTCTGTTAGATAGCTTGAAGGTAATTTATATGTTGTATTATTTATATAAATAATTTATATTGAAAATAAATAAATGTGTTTTATTAGTAAATTGTAAAAATACTAGTTCACTAATTCATCTATAAGTTATCGTTCAGTATTTTTAAGTGAAAACTTCTTTAGCCCTGGTTGTGATTTGAAACTCGATGAAACGAAAAAGCGACATTAAAAAAGACAAACACATACTCGTACATCTCGTTATGTAATCGTAATATGAGATTCTTTCACTCTCTTGATATGTAATATTGTATATTCATCTCATTATCTTGACATTTGCTTTTTTGAAGTTTCACTTTTATCGCGTATGAACTACACACGTCTTGTATTTTTTTGTCGCCATATTCTAACTTTAAAAATAGGACCACATTACTCAACGTTAATTTAATTTATTTCTTTATATACAGGGTCGTTGTGTACGTGGTATGATCTAATGTAATAACATAATTGATAATGTTTTCGCAATGACCTCAAGGACCGTAGGCATCATATTCATCTATGGTCATCATGTGGATGAAGGAATGTTTCAACTTTCAAGCATTTTGAACGCCTTTGAACGCATTGTTCACTATTGTCTATGTTATTAGTTTAAACTATTTCTATAAAGTTTGTGTGGGTTAGATCATTTTTATTAGTCATGCATGGCTTAGACCATGAAGAATATAGCCAAGGAGTTCAATCTCCATAGTTTCATATGAGAAAACCATACGCAAAAACTGCTACAAGTCGTACGTGCTGATTTACGTAGTTACCAGATGGATTTAGCTATATGTAGTAGCGTGAAGTTACTAATAAACAAATCAGTGTGAATTTAATCAACCTTTCTTGGTGCTATTAAAAAGAAATAAGTTATTAAAAAATATATTGATTATATTGAAAAATTGTGACATTTTTGAAGTGAAAACTTGGCACAAGTTTAGTATATGGGACGTGACGTGGGAGTGGGTAGTATTTTTGGATAGGGTAGGTGACAGGGAGCCCAAATATATAAAAATTATTTTAAGGAAACGTAGGAGTAAAAATTTATTGAGACTTAAAGTTACAACATTTCTATACATTTCCATACATTTCGTTACCAACTGGCAGAGTGGGTGGTATTTTTGGATAGGGGAGGTGACAGAGAGTCAAAATATATAAAAAATATTTTTACGTTAGAGTAAAAAGTTATTGAGAGTTAAAGTTACAACATATCTAATACATTTCCATACATTTCTTTACCTGGCTATGTGATTACAAAAGATAAACATACATTTAACGAATAGTAAACATTCTTTTTTTTGTACAATACATATTCCCACCACAATTAAGGCTTTATTGTATTTAATTTTTTAATAATTTCACATCAGTACCTATTGTTAACAAAATGATCTTACTATTCTATTCTTTTGTTTAACTTAAAACTATAAACTGTTTGTTTATAGTTTTAAGTTTTCACTTTTGTCGGCAGTTCTAATGACTGTTTTTTTTTTCATTTCATAATATACATTTAAATATATCGGAAATTTTCCCCTACCTCTTGGGACATAGCGACCGCAGTGCTCTCTGCGCATCCACTATTATTTTTTCGAATTTTTGGGACAGCTCTTAAATACAGAGATTGAACCAAAGAGTATAGATAGATTGAACTCCTTGTCTATTTTATTTATGACCTAGACAACAAATGAAAAATAATTAGGGTTACTTGATAAATATGTTGGGACATTAACACACAACACTATCTAGTTCCATAGTAAGCTACGAGGCTTGTGTTATGGATACCAGATACTTGACACACTACACATATATAACTTTAAATACTTACTTACATAATATCATAAATGTAAACACCCATGACTGGAGTACAAACATTCGTGCTCATCACACAAATGAACGCCCCCAGCGGGACTCGAACCCTCGACCGCGGGCGCAGCAAGTAGGGTCACTACAAACTGAGCCGAACGTATCGTCAAATTCTTATTCCAACTATGGTTTTGACTTTTGACTTGAGAATTGTCAATTGAGTATTATTATTTATTGTCATGGATGACAAATAAGAATTAAAAATTAAAATTGACATTAAGTCCTTGGCGTTGGCGCATTAAATGAGAAATTTGAAATCCTGAATAATAATTAAAATTTAAAACTCTTGTTGTTCCTGGTCTGTGATTAAAAGTTTACAACAATTTCAAGATTTTAGCTTCATTTAATTATTTTCATTAATTTTGAAAATTTTCGCTGTAATACTTACATTTTCCTTACTTTGTGTGAATTTCAGTCATAAAAACTGAATTTACATTTATAGGTACCTATTTATTTGAGTTAATAGTAACTAATTATGGAATTAGAAGACGGTTTAGACGATTTATTAGCGAATATTAATGAACCGACATCACCGAAAAAATTGAAAACTGAGGATGAGACTTCAGCTCAACCAGGTGTTGTTTATTTTATAATTTCAGATGCTTTTTTTAAAATAGAACTATAAAATTAGTTTTTAATTCAACATATTCAGAAAAATCTCTACTACATTATAATACAACATATTGTTGACAATAAACATTTGTTTTGTATAAATAAAATATCAACATTATAATATATGTCAAATTTTGTTTAATACTTTTATGTTTTCTTTTTTCCAGGAAGTTCAAAACCTGCTGTATCTAAGACACATTGTGTTTTAGTTAATCAAAAACAGGTGCTTGAAAACATATTTCAATAATTTGTTATTAGTTTAATCATAAAATGTTTAAGGACTACAGTTTTACTATGTAATAAGTAGTTGTGTATAGTAAAGTTTTACAATAATTTAATTTTAATGTTTCAGCGTGGAAATCCTTTGCTGAAATTTATAAAAAGTGTTCCTTGGGAGTATGATGATATTATACCAGATTATGAAATAGGAAAAACAATATCAATTTTATTCTTATCAATTAGATATCATAACTTAAATCCAGAATATTTAAATAACAGATTGAAAGAATTAGGAAAAAAATATGAATTAAGAGTTCTCCTGCTTCAGGTAATTTACCTGTATGCTCATTAAAAATAATTATAAATATAAAATAAATAATACCTTGTTTTGAAATTGTTAAAAAGTAGTACATATTTATTATAATGTAGTTGGGCGAAATTAGCATTATTATTTCTAATAAAATTGTAGATTGACTTAAAAGATCCACATGCAGCCCTGAAAAACTTAACAAGAATATGTCTTTTAACTGATATGACTCTTATGTTGGCATGGAGCCCTGAGGAATCTGCAAAGATTATAGAAAACTATAAAATATTTGAGAATAAACCACCTGACAAGATTATGGAAAAAGTTGAAAATGATCCTCATCAAAAGGTTTGTATTATATTTATTAAATGGAAATCAGATAATTTGTTGATCCTATATTCATTTCCAATTAATTTTATTAAATAAACAACTTGAACTTAGGTTCACTTATCAATTGGCTTGTTGACATGTCCAATACAAATCCTGATTAAGTTATATTTTCTTATTACGTGTTTTCCTTAGTCAAAAATAATAATTAAATATTTTTTTAGATAATCAATGCTTTATCATCTATTAAGCCAGTGAACAAGACTGATGCAATGACACTTATCACTAAATTTGGAAGTTTGGAAAATATAATAAAAGCTAGTCAAAATAAACTTGCAGAATGTCCAGGTTTTGGTGATACCAAGGCTAAGAAACTTTACAAAGCCCTTCATGAGCCATTTTTAAAAAAAGACAATGTAGATAAAATTGTAAATAAGGCTGATGAATTTTCAGAAAGCATAAGTGTAGAAGATGTGGAAAAAATTGAAAGTGAAATTCAAGAGGAAGAAAAAGGTGTGTGATGAAATATGATATATGATAGATATGATAAGTGGAAGTGATTTTAAAATAAGAATTATATATTTAGGATCAACAGTAATTTGAAGTTGCAACTGAGCCAAAATCTAAATTTATAATAAAGTTTTTTTAAATATTAAAAGAGGATTCTTATTATATATCTGAATACAGAATGACACTACTATTATAAATGTGTGGATGTGCATGTGTTATGCTAGACGGATGTTGGATGAGTACAGGAAGTAGTAATTAAACCAATCTGTTCTGAAAAATAATTAATATTTATTATTTTTGAAGGTAATTTTACATAAATAATATCCAATATTTAAGGATTTTATATCATGTAAATATATATTAAACAACTCAGCTCATTTTGGTGGAGAACGCTTCTAACCGGAGCAAATATGTAGAAATAAATAATAATAGAAGGTATTAGTTGACAGAACTTCTTTCAAGTATCTGGGACATTCTAAACCTGACCTACACAGCCCAATTTGACAGCAATTAGGATCTATTATTCATAAGTATGTATATAAATTTATAAAATGAGTATACTTAAATCATGGGCTCTCATCAGGAACAAAGAAAAAATAGTTTAATGTCTATCATATTATATGCCCAACAGAGGTAGTGGTAGCCCAGTGGTAACGCGCTCGCTTGAGAAACCAAGTGAAGCAGATTCAATTCCCGGGTCTCGCACCTCTGATACGTTCATATGTAAATTATTTACAAAATGATTACCACATGTTTTACGGCGAAGGAAAACAAGTTTTCAAAAGACATTAGGTTTTACTATTAAGTATTAGGTATTGCTTATAAGTCGTATCATACATACTTATAAATACCCAGTCGGGTAGTAAAAGTGGCGCTGTTGACATTTTATAAGTTATCTACAACAGTTACTAAAAATGTAATACATATAAATATAAATTTAACGAAACTGCATTTTAACAATAGCCCCGAATAATATTGCGAATTTTGGTTGTCCAATTTGTATGTACGATATGGCATCTGAGCGTTATGTAATCTGTAGGTCTAAATATTTTTTTTATTGTATCGACGTACTTAGGACACATAATATACGTAGGATAGAGTTATATACGTAAGAAGAGCTATAGGTATCTAATAACAGCGGTATCCACAATTTTTTAAATACCCCTTCAAATATGGAGAAAGAGAACAGATGTAACACCATTAGGTAGATATGCCGCTATCCAATATATTATAAATATCTAAAATTTCTGTGCAGTTAAGACGAAGTTTATTTTATTTGTAAGACGAATATAGTATTACATAGGTACTTTTTATATGCACAGATTTTTTGATATAGTATAGTAAATTACAAGTAATATTCAGGGGCGGCCTTAGCCATTGCGAGGCCCCGGGCAGGAGATCTTTGCGAGGCGCTTGTCTTTTATGGAATTTATGTGAATTGAAAATATTTTTAATGATGATGCTTGATGAGAAATGTTAAAGTTATAAATAAATAAATTTAGAGTTTTAAAATTTTATATTGGAAATTTAGAAAAGTTAACAAGCACAAAGAAGACAAAATTATTTTGTCAACATTTTCAGGTTTTGCGTAACTTGCCATTAATTCTATTAGCTCATTTTGAATAATTTTTCAGAGATAGTGGACATCATTTGTATATTTTTAGCAGCGCTAGATTCACGGTAGGGGGCACTCCGGGCTAGTAGTGCTCAGGGCGGCAAAATTCGAATGGTGGGAAAAAAATGAATAATTAAAAAAGATTGACTAGTAGATACATTTTTCGAACAATTAATATCAGTTATAAATTATTATTTTTGCATTTTTCAAAAAAAATAAAATTTATCGAAAGTATTCATTTTATGCAAAGTTGCGATAATAGGGCGGCACTGCTCTTTAGAATTCACGAGCTCGAAGGATCTCAGTGTTGTTTGGAAGGCTAGTGTGGGGACACAGGTCCAACACGTAGAGACCCCTTAAGAGATTTAAATGTTTAATATGACGCATATGCCGGCATCCATCTCTAAGTAACCCATAAGGAATTGTTTAAATATGCTCCGGACAATGCGTAGGGACTATGGAAAATATGGAAAACTAAAAGAGTGTATGGAATGGAGTTTGGATGGGCTACAAAACTGGACTGTTGGATGAGACTACCGAATGCCTTCTCAACAATCTCAGATTCAATATTTGGCAGACGGTGACTCGCCTCCCACTAGTAGCATAGCGCCTCAGGCACAACATCAGTGTGGTCAGCTAAGGTTATAGAGAAGTGTGCACCGGTTTCACCGTCGTAGGTGCTCGTGGGTTTCCCCGTTATTTTACAGATTGAGCACTTCTACCCTTTCAAGGACTTGGCCCTCTCAAATTTCAGAAATTTATATGGCTAATAGAGATTTAATTTCTAAGGACGACTCGATAGAACCAGATATTGTGTTTTTCCGTGGCAAGTGTAGTAAAAGATATCCTAAATGTTGACCCGAGTAATAAGTTATCACTATACAAAATTTACTTTTGTGTGAAAGGCGAACATCTAAATTCTAAACAGACATAAAAGTGTAACGTTTTTAAACATTTTTTTTATTAACTATTGTTTTGGGCTCTATATTCTGGACACCTACGCATACGTTACAGTCATTGTTTTTAAACATATTTCATGTACAGATTTCGCTAAGTTACTGTTTTATTATAGGTATGTATAGATTATTAGAAACTAAATAATTTTTAATGGCGTTGATAATATTTTATCTATTAGTGAGAACGGACTTGATAGTTGAAACAAGAAAATTATGCTATTTATTTATATGCAATCTAATTTAATAGACAAAATACTTATTGGTATCTAGGAATTTATATATTCTTATTTCTTTTTAGAGTTCCATGCCCAAAGGGTGCCAACGGGTCCCCCCATCCTTTTACTAAGCCTTCACTATCCGTCCGTCTGTCAGCGGCCTGTATTTCATGAACCGTAATTTTCACAGAATGTGTATTTCTATTGCCGCTATAACAACAAATAATAAAAAACTAAGATGTTCTAATTTCGAAATGGCCGCAATGCAAATTAAAAAAAACGATTATGGTACGGAACCCTTCGTCTGCGAGTCAGACTTGCACTTGCCTGGTTTATTTTTTACTTTTATGTGAAATGTTCCAATGAAGTGGTCGTAGTCTAATGTTGTAGGTAAAGGTGTTCGTTTAATAAATCAAGTGCAGCGAGTTTGTTTCCAGTTTCCCAAAGTGGAGGATTTCCGCATTGCCCCTTCTGCATAGACCGAGGCCCGGCCCATTCATGGGACGTTAGAAAGGACTGAAATATTATTTAATTATTGGCTTATGAATAATTAAAAATAATAAATACATAACAAGATAGGTAAACGTTTGATGCAAGAACTTTTAATAAAATGCGTAATTCGGACTCGCACTTGGACGTTTTTTCAACAAGAATGTAATCGCTCTTCTAATTTTTTTATTTTTTTTTATTTTAGGCTGTTATTTATTTTTTTAAACTTGTACATCTCCGAAGAGCTTACTTCAGTGTCCGTTGTAAAATATTCAAAGGCTTGTTCGACTGTATGTGACGCGCGGGGTTCAAACTTCAAAATAGAATATATCAACAGCGTTAAACCGGCTTCGTCAGCGGTTGGACGTAGCGATGCCTTTGCCTCGCGTAAACAAAAAAATAGAGGCGGGAAAATAATTCTTTATTTAAATTAATATTTTAAAAAGATATTATTATCTGAACTAGTGTTAAGAGGCATTTGATATTAAATAATAATAATCAAAATATAGACATTTAATCTAAGTGTTAGTATATTTTTATATTATAGGAGTTGCTGATCGATGTTTTCAGTGAATATTTTGAATTAATATTATTTTAACATTATTGAATAGAACTAAACCAACTTACATGTCGTGATTGACTTGGTTATGTAAAAGTGTAACGTTTTTAAACAATAGGTGTGAAGTAAACTAAGTGTGAACTGTTGGGAATATAACAGTCTTTTTGTGACTAGTATCCAATTATATTGTGAGAACTAATTACTGAAGATAATTTAGGTAAGTTTCTAGTGTTGCATATAACTTTCTGTAATATTCAATGAATATTGTTACTTACTAAAATTTATTATAACTATTGTTTACAAATATTTTTGTCATCAAGTATAAATATATATGATACTAGCTGACCCGACAGACGTTGTCCTGTCTACACGTCTTTAATTTGAAAATTTCAAACTTTTTTTAATAATTTTTTTGATGAAAATTATTATTCAAATTGTGAATCTAAACCATTCCCAGATACCCTTGAACACACACAAAAAATTTCATCAAAATCGGTCCAGTCGTTTGAGAGAAGTTCAGTGACATACACACTCACAGAAGAATTATATATATAAAGATAATTTCTTTTTTGAAGAGTTATGGAAGCCAGAATTTGGCAATATTCCATAATATCTATTTATTCACAAAAATTAAGGTAAACCTAATTTTGAATGCACGTATTGGTTTACTTTATTTTTTGATTAAGAATGAACACCTTATCTCAAATTAGGTAATTTTTTACCTAAAAATATTTAAATAAAAATAAAAATTTTAAACATACCACGATCAGTTCACGTATTGTATATATGTACCTATACTCTTTGCTTTTTTATTTTTTGGATATAAAATTCATTTATTAAAACTCTATAACATAATTAATTTTATTATTTTCTACAATATTAAAGTGAAAAATGGAAATTTTATCTTTTTGTTAAATATTTATTGGAAACTAATCGATTTTTAATCACGTTGACGATTATTCACCTACCTATTACATACTTAAAATAGACTTAGAACAAGAGAATTTATTTTTTCAAAGTAATATTTAATATACAAATTTCATTTAACACATGATATCAAAAAGAAAGTCTAAAGATTAGAGTAAAATAATGTGAACGACATCCCCTTTTTCTGAGAAAAGCGCACAGGTAAACCCTACAAAATAATTTTATTATATAAAATTATAAATTCACA